GCGTCAAAACACGAGGAGAGAAAAGAGTGAAAAGCGTGAAGGGATATGAAAATTTTTCACACAAACTTCTTCACTCCTTCTCGCCATCATCTGATGTCTGGCAAGATAAACTGCGAGGCGGGAAAGAAGTTAAATTCGTTTTCGCAAGTTCTTAGACGGAAGGAGCAGAGAAAAAAACCAGTGGGACGTTTTTAAGTGATATTTAGCGAAGTGGAGTGGGAGAAAGATGATTAACTCTTCGCATTTTTAGCATGCAGAGAGACGAAGACAATATATCTTTTGTGCTATTAATTAAAATCACCGCGACAGTTTACAAAATTAAATAAGTGCATCACAACTGGATAAAATTTTCCTGCCGTTGAAATATCGTATTATTCATTTACCCAAGCGTTGCCGTATCAAACTAGAAGGCGAAAGCTTAATGAAGAGATGCATTCAAATTCGCAACATTTAATTAATGTGCAGTTGTGAGTGGGGGGCAGAAGGGACAGAAAACCCGGTAAAATGCATCGTGGTGAAAAAGTCTTAGCTGGGGAAAAAAATGGTTGATGTTAATTTTCCATAAGCTCTAGAGTGAAAAATATATCACTAATTGCTGAGGTAGAGGAAATGTTGAGTGAAAATTCCACGATTTTATTCAATTAAACCGGTTTCATGAATAGTAAATGTAATTCATGGGTGAAAAAACCTACATGAAAACACCTGTGCGATTGCTAATTAATTACACCGAAATATTGATAAAGTTCACAATATTATTACATCGTTACACAATTGTCAATATAAACGAGACAAGCCCATGCGAAAGTGGGTAAAATTTAATTGAATTTAATTGATTTAACTATGCTGGGGCTTTTTTTCAGTTCCGTCTTATGTCACAGAAAGCGCAAGGCAAAAATTTTATAACCCATCTAAAAATCTGTCGCACAACTTTCGTCGAAAAAAAAAACCTTCAGATTGCGGCCATAAAACTGTTAAATATCAAACAATCGATTTATGATTGTACGCTAAAAAATGTCTCTTGACGCAGTTTTCAGTGTGAAATTGGGTCAAAGAGTTAACCTGAGAGCTGAAGAATAACTTATAAACGCAAAGGCAAGAGATACAATTTCTTCTATGTTACAACTCACTAACCGTAATGACCAACTCCTTAAGAGTTGCACCTTCAATTAAAAACGGTAAATGTTGCAAAAACGCTACTCAATCACGAAGTAGACACACTCATCGAGCACCGCGAATTAATCTCTTTGCAATTATTGTGAAAAATTGTCTTCTATGCCGAAGAGGAAAAACTTCTCTAATTGCTGGCTTTCAATTAACTGCCAAATTGTCACTCTTGTGGAATCAAAGTGGGGGTGCAAAGAAAAAAGTGTGTTTTGTAGATAATTTTTGATGAAATTCACTGTCGCAGAAAGGAGGCAAACAATGCCATTTGAGTAAGTGAAAATTGATGGCAACCATTTGGCTTGTATGAGACGAAATGTGGCAAAAGTTTTCACCCCATTTCGCCTTCCTCGCCACTGAGAGACCATATACTCAAATTAATAGAGCATTTTTGTTCATTGCCTGAAGTGCAGAGTCAACTTGGGGCACTGAGAGGAGCACCAATGTGGCATTCTAGTGCCAAAGCTTTCCGGGCGTGGAGGAGTCAATAAAAAAGAGAAATTAATACTCCTCTTTTTCTCCCCAAGCTTGTGCCGAACCCCCGGAAAATCGCTCAGTCAAATCAAATTGAATTTTTTTCTGCACTCTTCCACTTGCAATTGAACAAATGGCTAAGAGATATAGAAATTGTGTACTGAACGATAGTATAGTTTAATTTATAAACTCGCCAAAATACCAGAGAGCAGCAAATGTTGCCTTTTCATTTTGCCGCTTGTCTTTTCTTCCACCAAATTCGTTACTGTGAATTCCTCCATATGCGCTATCTCTCTGGCCTTCCCATCCCCCCCATTACGACGCTCCCTCTTATCTATACATTCACATTATTGTGCATCCCCCCATTCTGCAATATGCAACACACTGGAGAGAAGCATTGCAGAAAAGTAACAGAGATACAATAGAGCGATGTTAATGCGCGAAAATGCGATTTATTAAAGCAATTTATCTGATCTTACATTAATGCTTTTGGCGCATTTTCCTGGAATAACCCCTTGAGGTGGTGGACATAAAAGAATGTTCTAAAACATTGAAGTTGCTTTGCTCTAGAATCCACAATAAACCCTTCTTCTTCGGCAAAACACCACAAGAGCAAAATCAGTGAAATAGACCCAAAACTATTCTTGGGATGATGTAATTGGGAAAAATTTAAGCAACTATTTTCCTCTCCGCAGTTTACCAAATTGTAAATAACAGCAACAGCAGCAGCCGAGAAGAAATAATGGAGCAAACTTTAATTATAAGTAATTTAAATTCCACAATCCACTTTCATTTCCATACTAATATACAACTTCTGGGGCGCAGCGCACATAAGAATGTATCGTATTCCAGCAATTACACGCGAAGTCCACTTCTTTTCCCAGCCACACAATTTTTCAATATCTCTTATGCAATAATAATAATAATAATACTTTTCCGGTGGACGGATAGGAAATTAATTGGCATAGGGAGATGTTCTCCAACTGGAATTGCTGCTCCCATTCTCAGAGATCCTCCCCATTTGATCGGCAAAATACTCCCTGAAACATGTGTGTTTACATGTCTCGGGGTTTATTTTGCAATTTCCCCTTCGCCATCCTATTTGCATACATTATGAATCAAATTGCCGGGAAGGTGACACAATATTATGTGATTTTGCAAAAGGAAAGAAGCTCTCGAGCTCCACATTCATATTCATCTCTCTCTTTTCATCAGCACTTTTTTTTTCCTCCTGCTCCTCTGATGCCTATTTTGCCCTCCTCACATTGGCAACGCCATCAGTGCGGCGTAATTTGCATTCCATCATTTATGTAAACAATCAAATTCAATGTTAAGGTACTCACGATTTCAATTCATAGTTGGTTGATTCGCATTAATGGCGCATAAGAGGAAATTTATTTACTTAAATGGAGAGTGTATTGGAGTGAAATGCAATGGGAATTTCCTTCCGCAATTTACATGATAAATTGTCAAAGGGGCACAAAAATTGTTTATCCTTCGCATATTTGTCACACACATGCAATATTCTCCTTTCCACCGCCACCACATCAAGGGAAGAACAAGAAAAACACCCTGTAAATCAGAGAATGCGTCAAAATCTGCCCACTTTTCATGGGTGGGAGAGATTAATCTTCTCAAGCATCTATATAAAATTCAGTTCAATAAATAAATAATTTCACTCAATTTTGTGACACAAATCCTCAACATACACACAGTTTTGCTGGCGGGGGAAAATGCCAAAGTGGATGAAATAGAAATATTAAATTGAGTAGCCGGAAAAAGATCACATGATGTGAGAGAAAACATTCATAAAAATGTGAGAAATGTGAAAATCAGAAAATATCTATCACAGAATTTTTAGGATTATATTCTATTGGTCTATGCTTCGGGTGTAGAATATGACATGAAGGCAGGAATATAGCGCGCGTACAACATATTTTCAAATAACTGTCTCTCGATAAATCTGATTTACTGTTCCTTCTCCGTCAAGACAGTCTCTCTCTCTCTCTCTCTTTCTGCCTTCCACGGGGTGGAAAAAGAAAATATGACAACACTATTTTCTTGCTCAGCCAAGAGTAAAAGGACAAAATGTGAAAGTTACTCTGGCCGCGGCGAGGACGTTGATACATAGAAAGGATCTTCCTACAGCTTCTTATTGCTAACATCATAAATTCTATGTAATGTTGAAACTTAAACATGCCAATATTCCAACCACAACTTCTCCATCTCTCTCTCTCTCCCTCTCATTCTCTCCCTGATCCACCCTTCCTTCACCCCTGAAAGCCACATTTTACCACCCAATAATGTGTGAAAATGAAGTCAATATCGATATGTTGGAAGTCTATAAACATTTTCCCATCATATTTTCACCTAATAAAAATTGTCCATTACACATTTACACTTTCCCCAGTCCAATGCTAAGGCATTTATTTCTATTATTATGATTTCAAGTATAATTCCTCTCCTTCTTCAGTAAGGTGGGAAAATTCCACTCTTTCTGTCGCCGCCAAAACATTTCTCAATACACAAAGTTACTGAAAAGCATAAGCTCTTAACTTTATCCTCACCATCTTCTCTGTCCATTCGCTTATCCCTCTTTCCCCCCCATTCGCACATCCCTTTCATTTCCTATTTCCCACTCTGTGAAGATGTTCAAAAAGTAATCCAAATTCTTCTCTCTTCCTCTGTGTTGGAGAACAACAAGAAGAGAAAGTGGAAAGCTTTTCTAAACACATTGTTCTTGCGCTCTTGACACCAATATCCACGTATTCTGTTTATGATATAAGAAGACACTAAGCTTCTTCTCGTGTGCAAAACCTCTTCTCGCCAATGGAGAAACTTTTACTCACTTCAAATCCAATCCTTCGCCTCAATATATGTGTGTATAGTAATGCACAATTGACACCCCCAGTGAGAGATGTGTTCACTCTGTATCTTACTCCCCATTTCACATTCATCTTCTCGGCAGAATCTCACTCTATGTATAATAAAATTTGTATGGATTGTGCTGGAGAGAGGCAGAAGAATCTGGTACACTCTTGGAAATTGAGAAGTTGAGGCAAGAATGTGAGATGCACTTTATTTTTAGAATTTTTCAACCCTCACGCCAACACCCTTGAATGTGAGTGAAACTTTTGCAAAACACCTCCGCATTTAGTCCTCGGCTGTGCCCAAGTGAATGCACAGCGTGTGCAAGAAGTTTCGAGACAACTCTCCGCAACTGACACTATATTTTTTTTGCACAAATAAACCATGTTTTACAAGAAACTCCACAAAGTCATACAAATATTCGTAAATTCCCATTTGTGATCTCTCTCGACTATTTTCTTTTCTTAATCATTTTCTCATATTTCCTGTCGTCGCTCATGAACTTGCACAGTTCAGTGTACTTTTGAGACTTTCCACCACTTTACCATCCGTGCATCTGTCCCTGAATTATTTATCATAGTTATTTTGAGCAATGGATGCCATTCAACACTCTTATGCACTTCTCGCCTGACTCTTTCACATCAAATACCTATGCAATCACTTTCCCAGAGACACCCTCAATACCACAAACATTACAGCTATTATCACTGCGAGAAGATTCTTATTATCCAGCGGGGACTTTCACTTTTCCCGCCACAAGCTAAAGACAACGATCAACTTGATAATGATGTCGGACAATTTGCTATTTGCATATTATAATTTCTACCAAGTGTGTATGTTTGCAAATCAGTGTAAAATGCAAATTAAACACAATCAAATTTCAATCACAGATGGAGAAAAAAAAATCAATTGAAAATTCACTTAATAACACAACCATTTGCATAATTGCACTTCAATATCGAAAAACACAGACACAAACTTTCAATGCCACACCGAAATATCAACAAGAATTCTTCTCAGTATAAAACCAAAGCATAGAACCAGATGTTTTCCTCTTGACCACTCTTACATGATTGCCTCAAAGTGCTGCAGGTGATAATAATGGAGTTTGAACCTATCAATTATTGGACTGCTTGTGATTATTTGTATAACAATTTAATGAGTAAGTCCTGGGTTGATTTTAGAGAGAGAGATGTCAGTACTAAAGTCTGGCGCTTTAATTGATGATTTCTCGTATTAAATTACCATTTACCAATAATCTCACCAAGTCATTTATCATTGGACGTGATTGTGACATCGAAAATAGGCGATCTCAATTACTTCACCATTACGACCACAGAAAAACACACCACAGTTTTAAATTCCTCTAATGTGGATTTAATAAAATAATCGTAAACTTCCCATGAAAGTCGGCAGGGCCGTGGAAGGAAGTTGTGCAAGAAGTGCATCAAAAAATTGTTCCAATCATTTAATAACTCATTATGCCGAAAATAAATATTAAACAGTGTCATTTTGGTATTTTACAGCCACACTAATTCTCAAATGAATAGAGGACAGTGGCGTGTGTTGATCATGAAATGAATTTCTAATTAATTTTAATTAAATTCTAATCCAATTGTTATATGTCTTGTGGAGGTGAATTTGCCTTTGATGGATTATATAACGAACCATCAATAAATTCCACAAACACCACATCACACACACACACAACACAGCGTGTGTACAAATTTATTTCCCAACCCCCTGAAGCACAATATCTTATGTGTGGCCAAGTGCCCTGCAGGGAAAACACACCTGTTTAATAAGGAAATTGGAGATTTGCTACCAAAAACACTTTCCAAGGGATTAACCAATTGCACCCATGAATCAGCATGATAATGCTGGAATTATTCACACAAATTTATCAACAATAAAAAGAAATATATGGCATGAAAGATTTTGCCATCGTATATCAAATAAAATTTACGATGGAAAATTTCATGCATAGTCAAACAAGCGTTGCACATGACCGAGAATTTCTGATCAAACTGGATGGTGAATGTGAGGAAATATGCTAAATCTCCCATTCATGCACTTTTCCGTTGATGCAGCACATCTGCAAATCTCATCTCTGCGTGCACTTTGACTTCTAATCAAAAAGCTACATTTCCAATTATATCTTTTACCACAAAACTGTCTTCAGGACTCTTCAGTCAAGTCACAATTCCATGAAATATTCAAGTTAAGTTGTAAATTACTCTCTCTCTCAGTGCGATGATGTTGGCAAAGAACTTTAATTAGAACCACAATTTGACGAAAAAACACCGCCGAATGTCCTTTTTATTCATCCACGCTCATTCCCCCCCATCAAAGAACATTAAATAGCGAGCGAGGAAGTGAGGGAAAAAAAACGGGGAAAAACTATGCTATGTATAAAATTTGATGGCAGAAAGAGAGCATGAACAATGCCACATTACTATTTCATTATATTTTTATCTCTTGCAGATTCCAAAATGCGTGGTTTGAGCGTCCTATTTTCAACGCTCATATTTGTAAAATCCACACTAGCACAGTGTCCATGGCAGAAAGATATACCAGATTTGCAAACATCCTGTCTATGTGCCTACAACTTGGGTCAGGAGCTCTCTGTTCAGTGTGACCAGGTAATATTGCGATAACAGACAATAGAAAAAAAAGCGTATTGAGCTGGCTAATCACACATTTTCAGGTTGATTTTGCTGTATTAGTGGATGCCTTAAACAAGTACGCCAAAGCGAAACCCATTGATTTACTCTACGTGAATAATTCGACAGTAGAATCCCTAGAGAATAATGTATTTGCCAATTTGCGATTGCACAACATGCAATTGAGTAGCTGTAGCATAAGGAGCATCAAGGATGGGGCTTTTAGTGGACAGGAGCAGGTGCTGAAAAACCTCAATTTACAGGACAATTTACTCACGGAAGTTCCTATGAAGGCATTAAAGATCCTTGCAATACTAAACCTGCTGGATTTATCCAAGAACCACCTCACAAATGTACCAGACGATGCCTTTATCGGTATGACCAAATTATCCACACTCAAGTTGAGTGACAATAATGTGACGCTGGCTGGGAATGCCTTTCGTGGCATCGAGAGCACACTGAAGAATCTGAACTTGAAAGGCACCAGACAGAAGCGAGTGCCCGACGCCGTGCGTGGCCTCAAGAGTCTCGCATTTTTGGATCTCTCCCAAAATGGCATTCGAGAGCTGCCCGGAGCCGCCGGCGTGAGGACATTCGAGGGCCTGGACTCCCTCACTGCACTCAATCTCGAGCGGAATCTCATTCAGAATCTGGGCGAGACCGCCTTCACGGGTGTTCGGCGGACGCTGAGCTCGCTCAGTCTGCTCAACAACCTCCTTCCGGAATTCCCCGTTGGTGCCATACACTCGCTCAAGGAGTTGCGCGTCCTCGACATTGGTTTCAATCTACTCTCGCAGCTGCCCGAGACCGCATTCCGCGGCAATCCCAGCATCACCCTGCTGGCACTCGACGGCAATCCGCTGCCCACGGTGCCAGAGAAGGCGCTCGCCCACTTGAACAAGACGCTGCGCGGCTTATCACTTGGAGGACGCTTCTTGCACTGCGACTGCAAGATTCGATGGGTCGCCGAGTGGATAAGGAATGGAGATTTGCAGGTAAATCATCATGCTTACTCGAGCATTTGCAAATTATCCCTCTTCATCACACTGAACATGAACATTTAGGGAGATTAATAGCATTCAGCAAAATCGTTAATTTTCAATAAATAGAATGTTTGGGAAATGCCGGAAACTCATGATATAACATCACAATCTCTGTCTATATGCAACAGTTGCCGCTGTGAATTGAAATAACAGCCAATATTCAATGAGAGGATATTGTTTATTGTCAAGAAATGTGATGGCCCATAAAATATTTCCATTATAATATGGATATTGGATTTAATATACGGTTCCACGCACATAAATACTTTAAAATCGATAAATGGATACGATATGAAATCCTTTTCATCAAACTTTTAAGTGTTATTGTCACGAGACCAGAGCAACTCATGGCGAATGACAAGACCCTAAAAGAACATCCCCGAAGGGCCCTTGAGACATTCTCCCGGGAAAGAGTACATAAACTTTTTTTTCACCCTGATTTTTCATCCTTTCTCTCTCTCTCTCTCTCCAACTCTTGGGGAAAATAGGTGACTTCGAGAGAGAGAAATCCCCAATTCTGCGGAACACCGAATCGCTTCAGGGATCGTGGCTTCTATTCAATTCAGCCCGACGAGCTAACTTGTCCGGAATCAGAGATAGATCTCAATGGTCCAATTGGTGTTGTTGACTCTCTCGTGCCAAAGCTCACCGAGCCACCACCATCATCCACTTCTGCGGGCAGCATTGACAGCAGCACAACAAGCAATAATCCACTCACCACCTCACCCACCGGCGGCCCTGTGATCAGCTCAAGCTCAGCCACACCGACAACAACCGGTGGCACAACGACCAAGACCACACAGCTTCCGGTAATTTCTTTTGCCACGTATTTTGTCATGCATAAAAATTTGGCGCTAAAGAGCGCCTCTCCTCGGGCAATTGACTGCAAGTGCAGGACGATAAATTGCCCCGGGATTCAACTTTAATTGCTCCGCACCCCCACTCTAATGCCGCATTCTTGTACAATTTCAAACCATCCCCGCAGAATAAGGCGACCGCAAATAGAAACTCGCCAAATTGGCGCCAACAGAACTCATCGGCACACAAGCAACGACCACCCCTGGTTCTTGGATTTCCGCCACAGCGTGGAACCAAAATTGACGACTCCAACGAGGTTCAAGTGAAGAATGCTTTCAGGTAATGACATGACTTTAAAGATGCACTAAATTTTTAAGAAACCACAATACAAATTGTGTGCCATCAATTCCAATTGCAGGCAAGACAGCTCAGTTATAATTCAATGGGACTCGGACACAGCGAATATTTTGGGCTTTCGCGTTGTTTATCGCCTCTTTGGCGATAAAAGCTTCAAACAGGGACCACCACTGGAGGCCAGCGAGCGTGAGTTTAAGATAAAGAATGTGCCCTCGCAGGAGTGCATTGTGGTGTGTGTGATATCATTGGAGGAGATCAATGTGACACCGGAAAATGTGCCTTACACACAATGCCGAGAAGTGCGAACTGTTTCATCTCAAACATCCAACATGGATAAAATCACCATTGCGGCAAGTGCAGCTATTTGTGGTACAATTATCGTGGCGGTGATTGTCTTCATAGCGGCCAGCAGGTTGGTCTCAATTCCATTCAAAAGACTCACAGTCGAGGGGTGAATAAATGTCTGTCACACACTTATTCAACCCCTCAACTCGCAGTCTTGCGCCGCGGATCGGAAGTGGAGATGCATTTAGGGGATAAAATATTAAATGGGCGGGGCTTGTGAGTGGGCGGGACTTCTAAAATCTAACTACCTGCCACGCAAAACATCTCCAAGTCTGATTGACAGCGCGCAAAGCATACAATTTCAATGACTCTCAACAATACGCTGAGAGATTGAATTTATATTGTGCAGTGTTAATGTTTTGGTTGAATTTTCCACCCTAATTCCTATCGGATCCATTGGTCCAGACGCCGATCACGGAAGCTCCAGTCGCTCCACTCCACGCAGAAGAGTCCGTTACCCATCGCTGGCCTCCCCGTGAACTGCTGTGGACCCACGGCGAGCCCAGGAGGGCCGCTCGGCTCCATCGCCACACTGTCTGCCTTCAATAATCACAAGGTAAATCGCGGCTTTTCCTCTTACGACGACAGCAGTGGCCACTATCGCAAAGTCAAGACCACTGAGTTGTGACGCACGGCGTCTCACAGAAGGTGTATGAAATGTTATAACTCAATATTAATAAGACTGTGTACAATTCGCCTTCGTATTCATTAAATCAGAGATAAATTCTGTTAATTATCGCCACTGCAGCGTGGAAATGGTTGCATAAAGGGCAATTTACTTTGTATACAAATATAATATTTTATAAAATCAATATACAAACAACACCGTGAAACACCCCCAACGTGAGATAAATTAATTAAGATATTTCTGTGTTTACTGTGAATTTTCTTATTAGAGTGAAGAGTTTGTGGCTGAAGAATTGTATAGCTATAGTGCGTAACTATGGATGCAAAACTGTTTTACTTCATTAAGAATAATTGTACAGGCCACTAATGTGAATCATCCGCGGAGAGAATCCGTATTTTCATGGATTTATTACTCACATGTTCTTCCTCCTCCTCCCCTGAGGCTAGGGCACAGAGAAAAAAATCATATTATCCCTCCCTTTGCTGTGACATCCTCTCCTTGTCACTTTAAAATATACCTCTGGGAAATACATATGCGGGTGTCGCACAATAGAATTTTTTCGGGCGGGGAGGGGAAGAAAAAGGGAAATTGAGCCCGTCTTGCGGATTGGCTTTGTATTTTTCACTCTATACCTTTTCTTCTCGCCTCAAAATGCATTCAATTTGCCCGGCGAGAAAGGGCGAGAGCAATTGCTCAATTTAATTTTTCTAAAATGCATTTCCTCGCACGTTTCCACGTACATTTCTTTTACATACTTTATTGCCTCCCTCGAGACGAATAAAATGTTCATATGTCATTTACCATGAAGTCAAGAAGAGACGACATTCAATTTTCCATCACTTTTGCCAACTTACAGCTTAGGAGACAAACATTTGAGGTCATATATTTTCGAAAAGTGCTTGGCAAGAATGTACATTTCTTGACGTTGGACAATATAATTTATTGATAAAAATAACATTTTAACTCTATGAAAGACTGACTAATTAATGCTCATGAAAAAATTATTTTCTCACTAAGTTCATTCTCCCGAAAACCAAAATAGGAAAAGCAAAAACGGGAGTTTAACTTTGATTGCCTTCACATGAGTGAACACTAAAACTTCTTCTGAAGCATAAGTTTGTCTGAAATTTAACTTTTATTGAAGGTGTACACAATTTCATACGAGCATTTTCAAAGGAGCATTAAACAAAGGGTTGAGACTTGGGACTTAATCATATCTTAAGCTGCAAATGTGAAAATGGGGAGTTGTGCATATTGCCTAAGCTAAGAGAGCAATTTTGTAAATCAAACACTCATAAAAGTTTTGTAAAACATCAAGAACTCATATGAAATTAAGTTTCATTTATTAATAAATTTTTTGGGCTGTTAAGAAACTTTCTGATGGCCTTTTTTTCACTATTTTTATTTATTTGTATGTTTTGGCATTGAAAAATCTTGCAAAAATGTATAACAAAGTACAAAAATCTCTCTCTCACTTTCTCACACACGGACACGCCTTGTCTTTCCCGCCCTCGGCTTTCGATTAACACATGTCTTATTGACTCAAAAGTCATCAAGTGCGGTGGCGAAGGCAGAATGTGTGTAATTTTCTCCTCATTGCCTCAGCAATGTTGGAAGAAGAAGAAAGAAAAAAAAAAAACATAAGAGTTCATGATGTACAGCAAATGAATGTGCAGACGCTCTATATATTTATTTGATTAGATTTATTATATAGGAAAAACACAACTCTTCATTCAACATCTCTTTCCACTCTAATTATTTTTGATGCATTTAGGCTAAATAATCAAATTTCACGGCTTACAAAGTGCAAAATTATGCACTGAAATTAATTATTTACTCTCAGCCTGACGTCAAAGTGTGCGATGATTTGTGCAACCAACTCAAATGTGCGCGCGATTTCAATTATCTCTCTCATCCTTCTGTTCGCCGCTCTTTTCAGGATTGGGATCAGGTGTCAGCCTACAGCGGCCGCTCGATACCACGACCACGGATCTACCCACTGGAGAATCCCGGCATCGCAGACGACCTGCGGAGTCACGTGTCGCACTTTTCCGCCCTCGGAGCCAATCCCAAAGTCGGCAAGGCGCGCTCCATCGCCGACGGCCAGTCGCAGCACAGCTTCTCCAATCACTCGCATCGCGGCTACCTCGGCTCGGCCTTTCCCACGAATCTGGTTAATTCACGACCAGGTGAGTCCCAACGTCCCCCAAACGTCCGCCACCCGCTAATCCTTGCGCCTCATCCTGCAGAACTTCGTCAGTCGCGGCAATCACTGGCGGCCGCGTCCGATCGCATGTCCCGCGCCTCCTACGCAGCATCGGTCCATGGCATTGCTCACAGCGTGGCGTCCAGCACGAGACGCACCAGACCGCGCTCAAGATCGCGTGAACAGCTTAACGGCGCCCACATACACTCCCACAGACCCGGAAGCCGGTAAGTATGCCCAGCCGCCACACTTCATTCCGCACCAACTGGCCGAATGCCGCAAAACATTTCCACCCCAACGCCTCATTGACTATGCAGTGCCGACCGATTGAACTGCACTCAATTGCCTATGCCAAAATCGCTATTGTCACTGAAAAGCCACGCCCACCCGAAAGCCCCGCCCAGCTTTTAGTGTTATCTTGTCAACAATCGCAACGATTGAATTTCTGTCCTTCTTTTCGCGTCAATGTGCACTCTTTGGAGTGTCTTGAGAACATTGAGAACAATTTTCAGGTGGGGAATTTGGGAATAAGACATTTTAACCCTTCCGGAGTGAGATTCGTGCCTTAAAATTATTCAGTGGAGGTTAAATAGAGAATCTCTGCAGCACTATAACACTGCAATTCTCACTCTCAATACTCATCTGAGTCCTTTTACTCCTTCTACACGTATTCCTGGCGATCCAGTAGATACTCAACAGCTGGCTCCACGCACACCCTGAACAACTACTGTGACACATCTGACAACTGGACCGATCACGACATGGACATCTACATGGCAAGAAACCCTACGACCAGGAACGGATTGGTGCCATTATGAGGAAGGCTTTTGGTTTCCTGATACTTCGATATTATTTACGATTGGCATGAAATATTTTGACCAACTCTTGTGTTTTCTCTTCTCAACATTCTTAATCGAACAAACTCCATCGATAATTAGGAGACGAATCGAATAGAGAGTTAAGGAAAAAAAAATGTTACTAGACGTTAATATCATTGAAGAGTATATAATGTTTGTTATAGTGTTATTGAGAAAGTATAATTGTCTATGCTGCGATTTCTACCAAGAATAATAGCATGTGAGAAAAATGGTCGTTGTACTGATTAAGGGAGAATTCTCTCCAATTTGCGGTACAATCTATCCACAATTCTCTAAATGCAAGTGATATGAATTATTGAATGGAACAATCTGATGGGATTCTCTTACTATTTGCAGCCTTTGCAATTCAATTTGTAAACAATTAATCTCATAATTGGTTTTCACAACACTTTTTGAACTTTCGAGCAGTGATATAAATCATAAAGTTTTTAAATGTAAAATTGTCTTTTAATTAGATGATCACACAAAAATTCACTGCCGACAAAATCACAACCCAATTTAGTGTTAGGATATTAATTAAAAGAAGATGAAAAAAAAAATACTTCTACAATAAAATGAATAGAAACAATATTATTAAAGAGAAGAATATAATCAAAGTTAACGAGAAAAAACGGTTAACAAGCTCATGTTAAATACAAGTTAACAGTTAATATCGTGGCAAGAGAGACTCTGAATGAGAAGAATGTCAAAATGAATAAAAGTCTAATTATGAATTATCACCTGTAAATATGTTAATAAAAAAACAATCATGAATATGGAAGTTGAGGTGAGGAATATACGAAGAAATAGTGCTAAAGTTATCCCAAATAGTGCGACCCAGTAAACAAGACATGATAGCCAAGCATAACAATTATATATGGAATTACTGTAGAAATTTAGGATGAATAATTGAACATCTTATGAAGAAGAAGAAGCAAAAAAAAACAGCAACTTGTAAATAATGTAGATCTTTTTGGTTGATTTTAAATCGAGCAAAACAACGCTGCGCTCATTGAGTTTCAAAAAAAAAGAAGTTTTTCAAAACATACGAAATGCCGAGAGCTCACGAAAAACCGTGTCTCTCGCATTTGATAAAAACGTACACAGTTGATAGTTAACGATATTAGCATTTAAGAGAAACATGAAACTGAAGAAAACATGTAAACAAAGTAAGAAAAAGTAATTTAGGCGAAAGGTAAGTATAATGATAGATGAAGATAAAACACACAAAAATCATAGAGGGATCAATATTTCTGTAAAATCAACCTTTGCGAAGATGAATTGGTAAAAAAAATATATATATATATAAGTGTTAGGCAAGGAGAAGAGAATATTAGAAGCTATTTTTTAGTAGTATAAATTTCATAGGAAAAAAAAACAAGACAAAACACACAAAATATCTGAGATGAAACAAAACGCGTGAATATCGTCAAATTCAACACAAGAACAATTTGATAAATAAATGTGGAAAGAAGAACTCTGATAAGCGTATAAATAAATGTAGATGAGCATCAAGAAATGGATTTAGAGAGAAGAAAATCACATCCCACTGCCTTATCATTGTGTAATTTTTATGAATTTACGTTGATAAAATGATGAAAACAAGGATATTTAAAGGACTTTCTCGCTACATTAGAGCGAAAACGAGAATTAATGATAGAAGGAAAAAACACTAAAAATATTTATATATAAATATATATAATTGTATGTGTCATTTATAGCCAATTTATGAAATATATATATATTCGACAGAGTCTCAAGGCATGAATCTGAGAGAAAATATATGGAGCAGGACATCAATTGTCACGACGAAACATTGCATTGAATATACTGTTAGTCTGCACTTTCAATTAAACCATCATTGAATCATTGTAAGAGCATCACTATATACATACATAATGGAGTGAATATAATCAATATAATATACAACATATATATGTAGCGACTATACATAAAGCGAGAGCGAGTGAGTGTCGACAGAGAGAATACACGAACATTAATTTTAGGTGCTAATTTTTATGAATGACTGTTGAGCACTTTGTTGGAGAACGTGTGAGTTTTAGAGAATAAAATAAAGGAAAATTGATTCAACGCGTTTATCCAATTCATTTTCCCCCATCAAATTCCGACAGGAAGAAGGAAACTGCGAAGGACTCAAGTTGCTTAACTCAAGATGACGACGCGATTAAACAGCAGATCTCGATTCTATCGCTCATTAACAACTAAATAAAGATTCCAGATTCTAAAGAGGCGTTGCAACATTACGCATTTCGTATTTCAGTTCGTAAAATCTACCAATTTAGTAGTTTGGAATGAAAACATAGCTTTTTATGTACTTGAAAAAGTTTAAGGAAACCAATTAGTTTCTTTGTAAAGAGTCGAACGATGTCCGGAAACATATAACCTCAATCTGGTGCATTGAAATGTGCACAAATGGACAGGAAAAACAAATAAAATTATGCTAATCAGCCTAAAAACATTATTATTCTCTATTTCTTTGGTTTTCAAGTGAATTTTCCGGCTGTTCTTGTCTTCACGCGATGAATATTATTTGTAATCTTGCAACGACTTTTTATGAATTAATAGTTTTTACAACTTATTTAAAATGTTATGAAAGTAAAGTTGCAACGACACCTAATTAATTTGTCTCTTAATCCCAATATTTGATCCAGTCCTTCGGTTTCCCCCCGAAATGGCATAAAAGAGTGTGTAAAATGACTCACCCGGGAATTTGGATGCATCTCTCGGCGCGATATCTCATCTCCTGAGCGAATTCCATCCACAAGTGCGCCACTGCCTTCTGCCCACCGAAGTACTCGTAGCAGAGCGCCAGCAGAGCGCTCAGTCGGTGCACCAGGGAGTCAGGAGAGGCGCTCTTGATCTTCATGGGATCGTAGACATCGCTCTCCGGGACGTCGTACGGATGCTGGGCAGTTTCCTGGGCATCGGGGAAGAGGTAGTACAGCATCTTCATCAAGTGGTCATCCCTGATGGGGCCGTGGCTCTTCTGACTGTCCTTCATTGTGTCGCGCCGCGAGAAAGTGGGCAGAACGGATGTGAGACCGGGAATCTTGGGCTCTGTCAGCAAGTCCAGCGGATTGGTGTCGAAGGCCGTCGCTGTGCCTGCGAAGGAGTCTCCGAGGAGGTCGGACAGGGTGGTTCTGGACTCGAGGAGGTGGAGGTACTCCTTGAGGATCTCCGAGAGGAAGCAGGCGGGCAGAGGCTCAAAGCGCGCCCTCATTGACCACTTGGGCGCCAGGAGAGGATCGAAGTCCGAGTAAGTCTGCGAATCGATGACCACGTTGTCCGCCACGTGCGGCCAGAGGCAGTGGAGCACCAGTTCGGACACGGGATCGCACATCACGCCGAATGGGAGGACTGTGAACTTCTCCAGGTCTTCCTCGTCCACGTCCTCCTCGTCGAACTCGAAGGGACTCGTGGCGAAGGAGCTGCGCCACTTCACGGCATACGAGGCACTGCCGAATCTCGTGAGGCTGTAGTTGAGTCGCACGCTGACGGACACGGGATCTTCGTACTGCACGCCAATCTTGCCCTTGAACATGTCCAGGAGACCGGACAAGTACTTGAAAGGCGGCGGAGTGGTCTGCAGATGGACAACGTCGAAGGAGAGACGCGTCGACTGGAACTCGCACACGCCCAGGAAGACGCGCTGGCTCTTCTCCAGCACCTGCACGAACACAGGCACTTCGCAGTTGCTCTCAGACACGGCGATCTGGACAGAACTGAGGAGGATCCTGATCTGACTCTCATTGGTGATGGACTTCTTCGTTGGTCGCACCACCACGAAATCCCTGAGCCCATACCACCTGGCCACGGGATGGAGCTCCTCCTCGGCGCTGTCATCGAGAATGCTGAAGTCATTCTCCAAGGACATGAGATCCACAAATGCCTGACACTGTCGATCCTTCTCGCTCTTCTCACCGCTCTCGGGACTGTCCAATTTTGCGCTGTACCTCATAATCTGCAGGTCCACATCCGCGAAACTGATAATCTCATCACAAGTGGTCCAGTCACACAGCGACAGCTGATTCCTGGCCAGTTTCTCACCCGCGCTGACAAAGGGAAGCTTCCACTCGTGGAATATCTCCTCGAGACGTGCCGTGAAGATCTCCCACTCGCTGGCAGTGGTGAAGTCCTGCTGGAAGAACTCCAAGTCATCAATTTCCTCAGTCATCCTTCCGCAATTTGGTTGGTTTTTCACAGAAAATCAAGCTCTTTTTCGAGAGAGCAGAAATCAAAACACACTTTCACTTCGCGCACACACAGAACTGTCAAAAGCCTCAAAACAGTCTTTAGCGAAGACACACAGCACAAACAGCGGCGGAGAAAAGTGTGCAAACACTTTGATTTTTCATTCAACCTCCTTTTTTATTTGTAATGTTTGTCTTGTAATTTCTATTGAAACGTACATATTTTTTTTTACAAAATCGACTTTCATCGTGAACTTAAAACACAGGTTTTGCATCGCGTTTTACAAATAAGAGTGTTTTGGCAGAACAAGACTCTGTTTTTTTCTTCTTCTTCTGGACCGAATCTCTTCATCAGTTTATTTCTATTTTATTCATCAAATGATTTTCGGTGCATTGTTTAGGTGGAATTTAACTTCCTCTATTTTTAATATAGTACACTTTATCAACCATAAAGTCAACACAACGATTTTACCTCCGCCTCTAAACACTAGATTATTCATTTTAAAAGTAAACATCTCTTGTATAACCTTAAATCGTATGTTCTTGTGGGTTTTTCTCTCTGGGTTTCTGAGATGTCTTGTGTCTGCAACATCTCAGGGGAAATAAAATGATGTGATCAATTGCAATGGTTCCAAATGCGCTCTCCCAATATGATCAAACCACATCCTTTGCGACTCTCTTCTGCCTCTAAACATCCCTTGGCAATCTCCATCCCCTTTCCCTCGGTCGGCGCTCCTGGCAAGACTGTGTGCTCTAATACGGTTGCAGAGGTCCTTGTTTTTGTTCGTCACGTGTGTGCGCGTGAGAGGCAAAATCGTCGGGCGAGAGATAGAGAGAGAGAGTATTACATTCGAGAGCCCTTCTGCTGCAGCACCTTCGCCCTGTCATTGGACTCCTGCTCCCGCCCAACCAGCGGACTTAAGCACTCCTTCGACACCACGCACAGGAACTCGGCATTCTCCTCCGAGCCGTAGTTGTACTGCGTCCCGATGTTCACCAGCTGCTCGAAACGCCACCCATCCGACATCGTGGACACGAGCTGCAAAGCAGAAGATCCAAATCAGTGATCTTGAACGTCTTGAGCCAAGAATTTGATTCCTGAAGTCTTCAGGAATACGAATCTTCCCGATTTTGAGTCTCTCTGAGAGTCATAAATTGATATTTTTGGCATTTTTTCAAATCAAAAATTGTGAAAAATACTTGTTTTCAATTAAGACATCAAAAATGCTGCCTAAAGACCTAATTTTCCAGGTACAATTAAGACTCTAAACGGCATCAATTGGCCTTAAATCTCCCCTTTCCTGGATTACATAAACATACGACATGATTCCGGATCGATTTTCAGCAAAGTGACGCCCGGAAGTTGTGGGTTACCTGGGTCAGTTCATTCTCCTGGCACTGGAGCACTCTGTAGACTTTCTTCTTATCTAAGGCAGGTCTGGAGTCTCTGCGCGAGATGCTCTCCCGCAAGAGACTGATCAAGGGCGTCACATTGTAGAATTCCGCCTCCTCCAGCACGCCCTCCTCAGACAGGCCGTCCAGGATCAGCTTGCCGTGGCGCAAGTAGTTGAGAACAGGGGCGAAGTACCGCGGGTCCCTGTCGATGAGGTAAGCGCCAGTCTCATCCTGCAAGGCACACAATATCCATGCGATATATAAGTACATAGAGAGCACGAGAGCCAAGGGTGTGGGAGTCTATTTTGGGGAGGTTTCTTTGTTCCACTGCCAACGACACTGTCGCAAAGGCCCCCAGAAGACTCGCTTTTGCGCGTGCTGGTGGCGTGATTCCTACCCTGTCGGAGATCAAGTCGCTGTCCTCCTGGATGAGCCTGAAGAGGAAGGAGCTGGGATCGCGCGAGAGGGTTGTTTTCGTGGTGAGAAAGCACGTTCCACCCACATTGAGCTTCACCCACTGCTTCCCAGATTGATTCTCCAGCAGTGTTGGGCTCTTCTTAGGGTTCAGATTTATCGTCGCCATCATCTGAGGGCATCAAAACAACCGACGGATCACAAGCAACCACCTCCTATTGCACCACAACCAATTTTTTCCACCAATTTCTTTCCACCTTCAACGCCACTTCTTCTTCTTCTTCCCCTGATTTTTACAATTCAGCACGTCAGGCGCGAGCGCATGCCTCGCGTGATTCCGCGAGATGGCGCCACGCGTGCCGCGTAATTTATTCCGCGATCTTCCACCAATCTCAGCATTTTCGCCATAACAAGCCGACACACTCTGCGTGACTTGACAAAATGCACTTTACTGCGAATGTAGTGGAAAATATCTGCGAAAATTCACAGCCAAATTGTTCTCCCGAATATTCTACACCATCAGCCAACAGAGAGTCACATCGTGTTGTCTCGCTCTCGCACCCACTCGCAGTTTTCCATTGCCAAAATTGACATTTGACTTTCCCAGCAAAAAATTGCGTTTAGATTTCCCTTAAAAACTTGATTTTTCTCGTATTATTTAATTTTCGTGTCTCGTGGTAGTTGTCTCAAACACACCTCTAAAAATTGGTGAGCCAATGCCCGTGAAGGTTGAACCACCCCCACCGGCCAACTCGAAGCAATTGGGTGTTCCAAATGTAACCCTACTTTACAATGGAAGTCGCTTCAAGGGTTCCCAGAAGTCTAAGGGCAATTCCTACGACGTGGAGGTCGTGCTGCAGGTAAATCCCCCACCGCCACAGCCGTCCGCGCGCGTCCGCGTGACAGCGCGACGCGCACGGGGCGCCGCGGGCGCTCTAGGGCAGCGCACAGAGGGAAGATCTCTGGGCGTCCGGGTGTGCAAAAAAGGCCCCGGTCAAGGTCGAGAACGGCGAGTTCTGACGGCTAATTTTGTTGCTTGGCACGAGCCAATGCCAAGAAACACGCAAGATCTCTGACGCTTCCGTGTCTTTGCAGCACGTCGACGAGGAGAATTCCTACCTGTGCGGATATCTCAAGATCACTGGACTCACGTTCGAGTTCCCCACGCTGACAACCTTCTTCGATGGCGAGATCATCTCGAAGAAGTACCCATTCTTGACCAGGAAGTGGGACGCTGACGAGGACGTCGACAGGAAGCACTGGGTGAGAATTATTGGACTTTCCTGGCCAATCTTCCAATCTGAAAAGAACTCAGGACATGTTTTCGATCTTAAGGAGACGCTAAATATTGAAGATCTCCTCAAAGTTCTCTCCTCGATATCAAGATTCTCTTCAGGACATTAAGAAGAACGTCAAAAACACAAATATTCATCGAACTCTGGACGTTTTCTTCAAAAGGAAGAACAAATAAGACGCAGATGTTGAAGAAATGATTCCAAAAAGCTTAGTTTTAAGCAAAATTCTTGCAAGAATTGAGCAAATCATGCCAAAATTTCATCTGGTTTTGGTGAAACTTTCTTCAGCATTGCAGAATTATTGAATCTTCACAGTCTTTCGCATTCATTCAGCCAACCATTGAACAGTTTGTCCACTGAAATATTTTTCCGACTGTAATTCACATGACTTTGGATTGAATTTGAGCCTGAAATCAATCTAATATTGTGGAAATTATTCGTATTTACATGATATAATCTTGAATTAACTACTTTCCATCTGTTTTTCCAAATATTCATGCAAATTTGCTAATGTTTTTCAATATTTGAACAGTATTTCGTATAAGAAATGAATTGCAGAACGCTAAATCACACGAAATTGCAGCATAATTGGCACATATTTTTCACGACATTTGACAAACATGAAGAAAACTGATGTTTTTGTATCTATTTTTGGGCTTAATTAAAATCAGTGCAAATTTTCCACATATTATTCACACCTTTATTGTAATTAGAAGACAAAGAGATAAATCACAAAAGGTTCTCTATAAGAAAGAGTAAGAAAAGTTGTTTGACAATTGAAATCAAGTTGAATCCAATTGATAACTTTCCGGCCAGTGGAAAAATCTTATCAGCGCGAAGAACTTCGCAATGATTTCGGGAGTGCGAAAGTGTGCCAAAATTTTCCATAACGACGGGTGCCTCGAAAACTACGGAAAGTCAGAATTGTCTTTCTTCAGGAAAGCAATTTGGAGTTTGAGATTTGAAATTGTGTCGGAAATTCCATAATTTTTCCTTAAACACCCGGTTATTGTCCATTAAATTGATAATATTTGTGTATTTCAATTATTTTCTATAATATTTAGTTGATTTTATTGGTTAGTGATTGAAATATTCAATGAATTATGGAAAATTGATAGACAAACTCACGTTATTAAGTATAAAAAGACGGTTTTTTATAGTCTTCTTTGGGTTTTTTCTTGGACATGTTCGTAAAAAGCAACTTTTCACATTTTTCCTGTGCATTTTGTCTAGAATTTATAAGATTTAATAGCTGAAAAGATTAGATTTTCTTTAATTCTATGTGAATTCATTGATTTTTGTTCAGAATTTATAGTAATTCGTTGTGATTTTTTTTCATATTTAAGGATTTCAAAGATGCCGAACAACTAAAAGGGAAATTAAAATATATCAAGTCAATTTAACATTGATTCGAAAGCAAACTTTTGATAGTTTTCAAAGAAACCTTCGATGAAAGACACTTTGTTGTATGTTTTTCTGTTTTCTCTGCACTTTTTCAGAGCAAATTCTCGACATTCGCCGAATTCTACTCAAAGACCTTCAATTCGGACAACTTTGACTATGAGAATTTGGCAAATAGGTGAGAATTTGAAGGTGTTGCGATGCGAATTTCCCGTTTCTTGACGCCCTTTTTGTCCTGAATATTTGCAGTGACTTTGTATTTATGCGATGGAAGGAGCACTTCTTAGTACCTGATCACACGATAAAGGATATAAACGGAGCGTCGTTCGCTGGCTTCTACTACATTTGCTTTCAGAAGTCGAAAGCCACGATGGAAGGCTACTATTATCACAGATCGTCGGAATGGTTTCAGTCGCTGCATCTCGAACACGTTCCCGACAAGTGTATCCAAATCTATGAGTTTAGATAAAATGCCAGCGAAGCGCCGGAGAGAAGAAAAGAAAAGAAAAAAGGGGAGAAAAAACACCTCCAAAAGTTTCACAAACAAACAAACAAGAAAAATATCCTGATCAGAAACGAATTAATTGTAACACTTCGTCTTCTATATATATTTTTTAATTTTATTAAGACTATATAATTTTGGTGTCTTTTTTTTTGATGTTTTAATTAACTTCTGCTGTCATGAGTTTAACTTTTATCAAATTAAAATGCAACTTTATTTTGTACGTAAAACTATCAAGAGAAAAGGCAAAAAGAAAGAAAATGAAAGGATTTTTACAAAAGGAGATTCTGTGTAGAGAAATTTCTACTTTGATAAATTGTGTATCAAGAAGAAAGGAAGGAAAATGTTGAGGAGGGAATAATTCTTGAAGAAATGATGATGTTACAAGTGAGATGTTGAAGCTATTTATTTGACCCAACAATTCATCCAATTGACGCTGTTTTTCTCTTCAATTTCTGCCGTGTCTTTCTGACTCAATAATTTCTGTTCCTCAAAACATATCACAAAGACACGCCTCTTTCTGTAAAAAAAAAATTAATTAAGCGCCACTTTGACCGCGAAATCATTGAGGACCACACCTCGACTGTTGAGTGAGTGTGTGTGAAATTATTTAATTTAGCCACGCTTTAAAATCCTCCTTCCGGAAATAATGCCGCGGAAGCACGAAAAGGGAAAGCAGAAAGTGACAAGAATGCGTAATAATTGCAAAATACACATTATTGTGGGTGTTTTTGTGAAGAAATTCACTTGTATTTATTGGCCTAGAGGAGCAGAATCGCCGTCTTAGTGGTGCAAAAATGCCTCCTTAGCAAGGATGAGATTATACAAGTTTCCTTTTGCCTCACAGCATGCAATCAATCGTTACCAAGAAGTTTTGATGATGTTGATGGAAAAAATAGGGCAGAAAAGCATTCATTTCAGCGCACATTTCAACAACAACAAAAAAAATATTGTAAAAGGAAGAAAGAAATTTAAAAATAACACTTAAATTAAACTATGGCGCGATTTTTTCAGTGCGACATTTCTGTGTTTTGCTAATCATAGCGAGAAAAAAAAAACAAGCAAAAAGGTAGAGAAAAAAAAAACAAGTTATCATCATTCAAGTCTAATTGTAGAAAAATTGAGGAACTTTGGTGAAGAGATAAGGAAATAACAATGAAACGAAATAAAAATATTTGAGAGTGAAAAGCAATTGATTAAGAGAGAAGAAAAAAAAAGAATTCTAGAATCGCATCTTCACCAAAAGACAATAAGAAAAATTATTAAGTGTGTAATCAATATACGATTTTACTGAGAATATTTTCTCTATTTTTTTTTATCTTAGACAAACAAAAAATGTGTCCTTTTTTTTTGTTCTTCATTTTATTCCGTTTGTTCGTCGCGCACACACAGAAAAAAAGAGAAACTCAAAATGATGCATAATTTCGACTAAGTTAGAAAGAACAGAAAACTTTGTTCATGAAAGTAAAAATAATAATAAAAAAAAATGATATTATACATAAATTATAAATTGAGATAACAAGAGAATAAAGTCGTTTTTATATTTAAAACACATCTTTTTCTTTTTTGTTTGTCATTTTTTTAATCTGAGGACGGTAATTTATTATCAAACTACATCATGTAAAATGGAGAATTACAAATTAATTTCACTGCAATTCCTGACTTTTTTTTTAGTAAGTAATACAAAGATTTAAGTTGCTTCCTTTTTTAGCCTTACTTCCTAATGCATTTTCATCCTTTTCTTCTCAGTTTTTTTTTCTTGTGCCTTTTGTACAAAATAACCAATTTTATCTCTAAGACAAAATAGATATATAAGATTATATACTCAAATATATATGGCATTTTTTCATGTTATTTCAGCTGCTTCTTCATCCGTAAATCATGTTCATCAAAATGTTCTGTTTTTTTTCATTTTATTATTATTACAAACTATGTAATTTCACTTCCTTTCGGCGTCACACTAAAATGTTATTTAGGGTTTATTGGTGTGTATTTTTTATGCATGAAAATTGGGGATATATTTTTTCTCTCTTCCTTTTAATCTTCTTCTCTAAATAATATTTTTTCTCTTACCATAAAATTTAGTATTTGGTATTAATTCCACTTATTCCGCGCTCTTCATGTTTTTCTTTTTAATATTCCAATAATGTTACAAAGTGAAATATACAGCTAAAAAATCATCCTCATAAATATGCTGAGAAAGAGGACTCTTAATTTCTAAGATTCAGAGTTCAATATAATATTTGTATATATATATATATAGTACAAAAAAAAGAGAGAGAAAAACTACACAAGAATATTTATGATGAAATACAATTCTATACGAATTCTTCCTCTTCTTCTCTTCTTCTCCTTAAAAGCTAAATGAAATTTATAAAAATAAACATCACAAGTGATAATAAATTAACAATACGCAATGAAAGTATAATTTTTATTTTTTTTTCAATCCTCTTAAATGGGATTTCAAGGGTTAGTTTTTTTTTTGCTTATCATTTACGACACACATTTTTTCATCTTCTTCTTCTTCTGCATCATCAAACAAATCAATTTCATTTCCTGCTCTTTTTTTTTTAATAGCTAATCATACAAAAATATACTCTCTTCTGCAGCCCTCTTTCAAAAGCCGAGGGAAAACCAACATTTTGAGCAGACAGAGTGCTATTCTTATTATCTCACATTCCGTTATCAAATCATCAGTTTTTTTTTTCTTATCGCACACTTGCTAGCGCCGCAATCCTGCGCGCCTCCTGAACACCTCAGGATATGCAGCAGCTGTTCCTTGTACTGTTGGTCTGCGTGGGCGTCTTCACGCGCCGATTCTTGGAGTTGTTCGTCAGCGTGTTGATGCACTGCGAAGACGTGAGCGCGTACGACTTGAGGTGCGACTTGACAGTCGGCGGCAGAGGTAGAGTATCAATTGCGTACACGGAAGTCCGTCGCACGATGGTTCGGCAGCACAATTCCTGAAGAGAGAGCACTGCAGGCGAGAGACAAGCGACAGATTAGTTTCACTCAATCACACTTCAATAAAATCAATGCGACAATGATGTCATTAAGCAATCAAAACAATTTGATTACAAAATAAACATCATTTCTCGCCCGAATAAACTATAATTTGTACTTTTCTCTCAATTATTCTTTGAATTTAGACAATCCTCAATCGTCAAATGCATTCATTTTCCTCCCTTTTTTTCACATATTTGTTTGAAAACCCGGAAAAGGACACAAAGAATGCACTCGGCAAGAGACACTCTCATGTTCTGGGTGATACGAGACTTCAAACTAGGCCACATCCTTGAAAAACTGATAACTTTCCTCACGCATGGACATTCGCGTTGTCCTTTCGAGTCGCCAGAAATTCACCCCAAAAACATCATCTTGCGTACCTTTGTTGGATCTCCAAATCCTCTCCATCCCGTTCCGGTGGAGCGCCATCCTGGCCAGCTCGCAGAAGGACTCGCGGATGTTGAAGTCGCAGAGCGGCGAGATCTCGAAGCAGGCCATCTTGTGGCGCGACGCGTACAGCTCCGCCTGTTTCGCCGCCACCTGGCGCTTGAAGGCCAGGTGGAGGCGGTTGCCCACGAGCACCTTGGGCACTCCGGGCGCGTGCTCCTCCACCTCCTTCAGCCAGCGCCCGATGCCGTCGAAGCTCCACTTGTTCGTGATGTCGTACACGAGAATGATGCCCTGGGCGCCGCGCGAGTACGACCGGATGATGGTGGAGAATCTGCCCTGTCCGGACGTCTCCCACAGCTGCAGCTTCACGCGCTTGCCATCCAGCAGTATCGTGGTGGTCTTGTAGGCTGCAAAGGCGATAGAATGAGAAGACGTCCAGTGTCGCGGAGAAAGGCGCGCCGCGCCCGGAAACTCACCGCTGCCGCTGCAGAAAGGACTCTCGGAGGAGCCATCCTCCAGGCCAGAGATGATCTCGTGCTTGCCCACATCGCTGTCGCCGACCAGGAGCACTTTCAGCAGATAATCGTAATCCTTGGCCATTCTCACTTGTTCCATGCGACTGGCGAAGTGGAACTGGTGAGAGTGTCTGTCAAGGATAGCCACTTCTTTCCGCACTAGAATGCCGCCTCTCGCGTTCCGCGATCACTTCTATCCATCTATTGGGCCTCACATCGGCGCTCCCAGGTAATTTTCACGCAATGTGCCTTCGCCACTGCCCGGGATTTGCGTCTATTTTGCGCAGCAGTCGCACGAGAAGGACCCAAAGTGTTGGTCCAAGTGTGTGAGAAGCTTCGGGCGCTTCTGCCGAGTCTTTCCACCACGCCTGCCGGCTCAATTTCCACCCCACAATCTTCCGGACACACTGCACTATCCCTTACCCGTGATGCTGTCGCAAATACCACTGTATTTCTCCTGATTTTGCAACAAAACTCTGTAATTTCGCACTAAAAATCACACTCTAAAATGCCAGACATGACTGGTATTCTCACTGCTTAATTTACGACACGTCCTGAACATTGTGAAATTCTTCAAACTTGCGTCGCAAAATAATGATTTTCACTCAATTTTATCTCCATTGCAACACTAATCAGCCCGAGCAGCGTTCATTGCGTACGACAATTTCTCAAATTCTAGAAACAATCAAGGAATTAATGCGAAATTGCAGTCCTTTTCTACACCACTTTCTCTACACCATGTCAATGTTGGGTGTCGCCTTGCCAACTTTCCGTAGCGCGGCGCTCGCGTCGACGAGCAGGTGAGAAAAGTGACAGCTCGCGCTGTCCGAATGTTTCGGTGTGTGATTCGGAGTGGATGTTCATTGTGTGCAAAGTTGGAATCATCAGAGAGTGCTGATTTTTCTCCTGCCAAATTTTGGGCCGAAATCGCATTCGCGGGCGCCCCAGGTTGTTGGAAAATCACCCCCGTGTGACGTGGCAGCGGTGTAGCGTGCAAAGGTGCGGCACAGCGAGCGGGCGGAGTGCGAAAAGTGGGTGTGAAAAAGTTGGTGAAAGAGCTGCAGTGGGCAGACATATTGGATTCATTGTGGCAGCGAGTGCGCTCCCTTGGCCGTCCGTGTTGGTGATGTAGTGCAGGCGACCTTTCTCGGGCAAGAATCATCGTGAGCGCTAGAGACAAGGTTGGGACTGTTTTCGAGGGTGTGACGATTGGATCACGCGCGCGGCAATCATGGACGTGACCACGAAGGATGTGTACAAAAATGCCAGCGACTTCATTGGGGGCAAGTATCGGCTGCTGCGGAAGATCGGCAGCGGCTCCTTCGGCGACATCTACCTGGGCATCAACATCGTGAACGGCGAGGAGGTGGCCATCAAGATGGAGAGCAAGAGCGCGCGCCACCCGCAGCTGCTGTACGAGTACAAGCTGTACAAGGTGCTGGCCGGCGGCGTGGGCATCCCCCACATCCGCTACTACGGCGAGGACAGGAACCACGTGGTGCTGGTGATGGACCTGCTGGGGCCGTCGCTCGAGGACCTGTTCAACTTCTGCAGCCGCCACTTCACCATCAAGACCGTCCTCATGCTCGTGGACCAGATGATCGGCCGCCTGGAGTACCTCCACTGCAAGAGCTTCATCCACCGCGACATCAAGCCCGACAACTTCCTCATGGGCATCGGGCGGCACTGCAACAAGCTCTTCCTCATTGACTTCGGCCTGGCGAAGAAGTACCGCGACGTGCGCTCACGCACGCACATCATGTACAGAGAGGACAAGAACCTCACCGGCACGGCGCGCTACGCCTCCATCAACGCCCATCTGGGCATCGAGCAGTCCCGCCGCGACGACATGGAGTCCCTGGGCTACGTCATGATGTACTTCAATCGCGGCTCACTGCCCTGGCAGGGCCTCAAGGCCACCAACAAGAAGCAGAAGTACGAGAAGATCTCGGAGAAGAAGATGTCAACGCCCATCGAGGTGCTGTGCAAGGGATGCCCAGCGGAGTTCTCCATGTATCTCAACTACTGTCGCAGCCTGCGCTTCGACGAGGCGCCCGACTACATGTATCTTAGACAACTATTTCGGTGAGTCCCTTTTATCGATCAAGCCTGCAATCCGGGAAGCCACATTGATGGGCATTTGGGGAGAGAGAGAGCGCTGAAACCGTATTGATTCCCGTTGTGTTGAGAAAGCTCCCAATATCGCGCGCGTGGCTCTTCTGCAAGGCGATGGTGGTATTAGCAAATTTTGACTTTTGCAAAAGACGCGAATACAATCCGCACTTTCCCAGCGCCACAAACGAGTATGAAATGCTGGCGACGACGACGAAGTGTGTTGGAATGAAAGAGAGGGCGAATGAAGAGAAAGAAGCGGGCAAGAAAAAAAAAGAGTTTCTTTATTCAAAGGAGAGTCTCAATTGATGGTGGATTTCAGATGGTGGCGAAAGTGTTTCTCTCGATCACATCTCTCTTCTTTTTACCATCAATTTTTGTGCTTTTGCTCTCTTCTTCTTCTCCTTCTTCTTCGCAAATGGAAGGGCAAAAAAAATTGCTGCAAGAGAGAAAAACTGCGGTTAATGCAATTATCAATTTGTGTGGCGCCCACGATTAGGAGTGAATTGAAATTTAAGGCAAAATTTGGTTGCAACAAAGAATTAACACAATTTTAATTTAATTTGCTTCGCATTCGAAATGTTTTCTGGGGAAATTGTCTTGATGGTTTTCATTATTAAATAATATTATTGTACGTAAGAGAGATTGTGTGGCTTAAAGGTCACATTGGATTACGTTTTTCTTTTATTTTGTGCATTGGATTTTTCTGCGTTACAATATATGTATTTCTGTAAATATTTCACCGCAATATTGCTCTGTTATCTGTTTGTTTTGCGTGAATGAAATTGCGCGAATTCTGATCAGCAATTTTGCACACACAAACACACAGAAATCTTTTAGAATGAATTTTGCTAATTCAATCGGAAAAAGATGGTGAGAAATTGTGTGTTTAAAAGTAATCAATAATAATAATATTTCCCAGTATAATTATAGATTTGATAAAGCTTGTAGAGCTTCTCAAGTCGTCCGAACACATGACGTTTCACTCGTGTGTGCAACAATGTGAACTTCCAACTATATTTAGAGACGCTGTTCTTCGTTTTTTTTCACGCTCTCTTTCTATAGCTGGAAAATTATTTGCAAATATTGAACTGAGAATTTGCATTTTTGCATGCCAAAGAATCTCTCAGTGTGGAAATTATTTGCATGGCAATTTGAGATATGGGGCGGAGAATATGAGTGGGCGGAGCCAGAGTTCTCAAATCACAGCATAAAAAAAATGTGTGCACAATAAAAAAGTTCTGCACAAGTTTTCCATCTCAACATCATCAAAGTATAACGAGTCATTTCAAAAATGTTTTATAAACCTATTAAAACAGCGCAGAAGAAATAAAATAAAAAGACGTCTTGAAAGCAACAGTGTTGAAATATTGTCATATTTCCAATTCACTGACTTTTATTCTTTTCCTCTTCCTGCAGCATTTTTTCAATCTCATTTTGCTCAATAATATCTTCTAATTTTTCTGCGAAATATTTCATTCATGCCAAATATATATTGGAAATTGTAGAGCGAGCAAAGTTTTAGTGCTTAGAATTCACTATTTTGTTACTTCTTTCGCTCTGTTGGGAGATTAAATTCAGGAAATTCCCATGCAAATTGGGTTGAAGGACATTTTGTAGACATTTTGCATTACATGCAAATTGAAAATTCAAGTATATTTTGTGCTTCTTTGCCTCTGTCGCGTTGTCAAATTGAATTGTTTGGCATACAAAACAGAGTTGGTAGGGAAAAAGAAAAAGAGAGACTGGGAAAAAATGCGCTAACAACTGAATAGTTGTAAGTTTATTTATTTTTTCCACCTTCCAACAATTGTGCTTTTATATTATTTCCCTAATTCAATTTTCACTGATATTTTTCACGAAATATATTTTTTTTTCTTTTAAAGAACATTGCAAAAGAGCGCGAGGTGGAAAAGAAGGTTTACCACTCTGTGTGCAAATGAATCACATGAGGAAACCTTATTCGCTTTTTCTCCCCGACCACAAACACACACACAGACACAGAAATACAGAAGAGAGACTGTTTTTCTGCTGTTTTGTTGCGAACGTAGACGAAGTCTCAGTTATAAGACGGTATATTTTTTGTTGCCATTTACAGTTGTCGCTAATGAAATGAAGCACTTAAATTTTAGAGGATTTTTCTGAAAAATCGTGATTGAAAACTATGAAAAGTCGATTAATGATAGTTTTCATCTTATATGTATTTTTGAAAAGCTCTTTATCTGCAAAAAAATGTAAAATAATTTTTTAATTTATCTAAAATATTCTTAGATTTTAAATAAATATGATATTTGTCCTATTTTTTTACTTTTCTTACTCACAAATTTTGAAAAAATGCATCTAAAGATATGAAAAGTTGTTTTTTCAAACTTGTCTTGAATAAAATGTTCTCAAGAACTATTAAAAATCGAATTTTTTCAGTTAATTTTGCCATATTTGAGTCAACAATTCCAATAAATACCAATAAAAGCAAGTGAAAAGATTCAAAAAATAATTATTTCAGAGCAATATTAGCTTTTTAATGATTGACTGAAAGGTTTTTTTGATGGTTTTGGGGTAAATTTGACAAAATTTCGCAACGATAATAGCACTAAATTGTGATTAAGCCGTCGGAAAAGCTTCTCTTTTATTGGTTTTTCTTCCCTTCTCTTTTCTTCTTCTCCTAATTTGTGTCCTTCAATGACTAAATGATTGCATTTCACATTGAAACTAGAGTAATTTGTCCCCAAATATGGCATAATTTCAGTGATTTTCTCAGGCTTTAAGAGGGTTTCATAAGTGCCTTATTTCATTGGCGGCCACTGTAATGGCAGTTCTTAAATGGGTCTGTGTTGTGTACACTTTTCCTGTGCATCTCTGTGCAAAAACACATTGAAATAAAGGTGGATGTCGACGATGGAGTTTGAGAGGTGAAGAAGAAGAAGAACAGTAATGATAATTGGATCTTCTTGCGCGCGCTGTGCAGGCGAAGAAGAGAAGCAATCTGAGCTGTGTGCTTGAGATGTGCAAATTGGGTCGTGATGTGATAAGGGTGACGTCACACGAGCGCTTTCCCAACTGACATTGACCCAATTTCCATCCATGAAATGTGTGCGTTCGCAAGGCGATGACGAAATTCTGCACATTCGCGAATGTGTGTTTCTCTCTCTCTCTTTCTCTGTTGCCGCCAAAATTTTGATGACGAAAGTTGTGCGATGGGGAAAATGTGGGTGGCGAATGAGTTGAGAAGAGATTGAAGAGAAGATGAGCAAAATCTCACGGAGAGCGAATGAATAAAAAAAAAAAGGTGTACGAAATTTGGGAACGTGCATAAATTAGCCGAGAGACGAAATTAGAATGCTTGTGGGCAGTGGAAAAGTTCAAAGTTCTCAAATTTGCTGCCTTTTTTCCTGACAAACGCGTGCGTTATGGCAAAAAAAAAATTAATAATAATAATACGAAGAAAAATATTCTTTCAATAATGAAAATTACACATCGAAAAAGTACCTTTGTTTTCTGTGTCAATGCGAAGAGAGTAAAAGTATTGGGGATTTTTGTGGGTCATCTCTTAATGTGTGTTTTAGTGTGGCGATAGCGAAGGGGGAGCGATAAAAATCATGAGTTGAGTGAGGGCGTAAAAGCGTCTCTTTTCCAACTCCTTTTGCGTGTGCTTTTGACACACTTTTTTTTCAATGCGGTCATCATGAATTTGACTGTTTTCGATGCTTTCCATTTCTCTCTAAATTACTCTTCATGTTCGTCTACCAAATAAATTGTTATGACTTTTATTAGGGAGTTTTTTTTTCTTCTTCTGTAGAGAGTCTTAAAAAATCACGACGATGAGCTTCTTCAGTTGCCAATTGAATGGTAATTTATCTCAGCATTGAAGATGCATTCAAATTGTTCAGTGGAGTGAAACATTTTCTGTATAGAAATCGTTTTTAGTTGTATTCTTGCTCTGTTCTGAGCATCTTTCGATTGTGAAGTCAGAATTGCTTGGCAAAATAGACTTTTTAAGATTCTCAATTCGACGGGTGAATGGAAAACTATGAAAAGTCGATTTATCATAGTTTTCGTCTTATGTATTTTTAAAAAGCCTTTTATTTGTTCTTTCTGTACAAGAATTTTAAGATTTGTATCTTATGAGACAATAGAAAAAAAAATCTTATTTATCTAAAAAGCACAAATGGAAAAAAATTGTCATGTTTTGCGAATGAAAAGTCGAATTTTCATTGTTTATGCTGAACAATTTTTCCAAGAAAAATGTCTCAAAAATTGCAGTCAAATGCATAAAACGTCTTTTTTGGAAAATATTTGTAGATTTTCAGAATTATCCTAAAATGTTTTTTTAGACTTTAAATGAATATTTCTCATATCTTTTAAATTTTTTTCACTTGAAAACATTAAGAAAAAGTTCAATTGAAGTATGAAAAGTTGATTTTTTGTATAAAATCGACTCAAAAACCATTAAAAATCGACTTTGAAAAGTAATATTTTCAGATTTTCTATGAATTTTGCCACATTTTAGTCAAAAATTTCAATAAATACCAATAAAACATTTACAAAATAAAAAATACAGAGCAATATTTTCACTTTAATGAACGATTTGAAGGCATTTTGAGTATTTTGAAGTAAATTTGGCAAATTTCGCAGCTGTTTTAATGCAAAATTTTGAACTCGCTCTGCTGAAAAATGGCGATTTTGACTTTTTTTTTAGTTTTCGAGGCACCCATCGAATTGCATTCAGATGCAAAATTATGTCAATATTTTCTTCTTTTATCAAAGAATCCTTCAAATTCACATGCTTGAATGTATTTTCATTAGTAGAATTGTACAATTTCCTGCTTTCAAGTGGGAATAATTCACTTTGTGTGGACAGATTTAGATTTCTCAGAAGGTAAAATGTGGAAAATGTGTTGTGAAATTGATAAGAGTAATCTCGTTAATCAGCAGCGGATGACGCGAGATTTCTCTGAGAATGCGCTTGTGTCAAGTGGTTTTTTTGGGAGGGAAACTCTTGATGAGTCACACAAACACTGAATTGAAATGTGCTTCACTTTCTCTCTGCAGAATTTTGTTCCGCACGCTGAATCATCAGTACGACTACACGTTCGATTGGACGATGCTGAAGCAGAGAGGACTCGGACAGCCCGGCAATGCGATCACGCACGGCAATCTGGAGAATCGCGCCGACGGGCGGGAGAAGGAGAAACAGCAGGCGACAGATCTCAAATAAGGAATAGGAAAAGTGGGATGATTCGGCGAGAGGAATAAGTTAAAATGCGCGAGCGAAAGAGAGAGAAAGAGAGCGTTTGGAGCCAGGCTATCTTAATTTTTGTTACATTTGGAGAGCAAGAGACGAAGGAAGAAGAAAAAGAAAATGCGAAGCTGACGAAAGAAGAAGATGAATAGGAATAGAAAGAAAATGAAGATGAAAAATACTTAGTGAGGGGAAAAAAATATCATTTATAGAGAGATGTTGAAGTGAAATAAACATTCGCAGATAATAAAAAAAAACTGGAGACAAAAAAAAATATGAAGAAACAGAAAACATAGCGTTCAAGAAAAGGAAGAGAAATAGAAATATTTGTGTAAATTTAGGTAATAGACAAACAATTAAATTATGTAATTTTATTAGATTTCAAATGATGTTAGAATTCTTTTACTTTATACAATGAAAAAAAAATATTCTTCGCGAGGAAAAGAAACACAAATGTTAGGATTTTATTGTTTATTTTTCAGAGATACAAGAAAGAGAGCGAAAAAGCTCTCGACAATGTGGAGAAAAGAGGAATAATTTTCTGTTTAAGATGCAAATGATGAGTTTCTTTTACTAAATAACTTATAAGAAGTAAAAATAGACGAGGAGGAATAAAATTATACAGAGAAATAATGTTTAAGTTCATCCAGAAATCACTGATAATATTGATTCATCATTGAATGTATTTAGAGGTTTTTGAGAGAGAGAGAGAATGCAAATAAAATCGGTTTTTATTATTCAATTTCTTGTGGACAAAGAGAGCGTGTGTTTTTTTTTTGGATTAATTTCATAGCTAATTCTAGATTGTAATTGGAGAGATTACAAATTTTGTTGAGTTAGTAATCTTACGTCTATTTTTTTTTAGTAATTTCATTTGGATATTCGATTTTTGCCACACACAACATAAATGTATCAACACACAAAACACCAGCATAAAAAAACAACTCACAGAAATGCACCATCTCGATGTAATCATGCTTTTATAAGAGGAGGATTTGTGGAGAAATTTTATTAATAAAATATGGGGATTACAAAAAAAACATCAAGATTTGACAAAATGCGTGTGATTTCATATGAGTTTTCTTTTTCATTTTTGGGATTTAATTATAGAGGAAGAAAACAACACAAAAAAAACATAAATTGAGTGAAGATTGTGAGAACAATGTAAATAAATAATCACAAATATAAAACTGATGAAGTATTTGGTGAAGAAAAGTTGCGGGGAAAATTCAAGTGGAGAATGAAGAAAAGATAGAAGAAGATTCAAGGGAAGATTTGTTGTGACGACATTTAAGGAAATTGTTGGTGGTTTTTTTTCTTTTCTAGACAAAGGATCACGAGGCATTTTTCTTTCCCGCTCTTGATATGAAAACACAACAACAACAACAAAACATGAAGAAATATATTATGAAATTATATAATAATCATATGAAATATGTAGTTATATATTATATACGACTAAAAATGAAGTATAATTATATAAAGAGGGAGAAAAAGAAGTATAAAAAAATGATACAAAGAAGAAGATGAAAAAAATAAGAGGAAGAAACAAATTTATAATGTGAGAAGATTTGTTCAAAATGAGGTTTTTTTTTCTCTTTAGTTTTTAACAAACAAAAAAATGCTTCTGCAACAATTTGCATTGCTATTTTTGACTTTTTTTTCTGACTGATATTGAAAAAATGTTCATAAAACTTTTCATAATTTTGTCCTTCATTTTTTCTTTAGTTTTTTTTTCTTTCAAATAAACTTACACAAACACACAAAGAGAACACGAAAAGGTGGGAGAATTTAGTCAATTAATCAATGAGAGATTGTACGGCAACTGAATGTGCAAGAAAGGAGAAGAGAAAAGTGAAGATATTTCTTGAAAATTAAAAAGAAAAACAGACGAAAATGTACTGGAATTACAGTGTAGAATGAAATTCTGTAAGCTTTTCTTTCCGTTCTCTGCGTTTTTTTATTAGGCACCCATAAATGGATTATCATTTTTCCTTTTGTAATTTTAGTTTCAGATTATTCAGTTATTTGTATTATCTCGATTAAACAAATATAATATCTGAAAACGAGAGTGAAATTTCGAATGATTCGTTCGGCCGGGATTGGCGGTCATCAGCTGATGTGGTCTGCTGGGTTGGCAGTAATTGTGTGACGTTTTGGGTGAGAAAAAGCGCTTTTGTGGGAGTCTTTTTGTCTTATGAAATTCCCTTTCGCACTGTGTTTGTTGGGACAACAGCACGCCAAATCGCGGGATAAGTGTGTCAGGCACCAGAATGCCCTTCTACGGACTACACATATCGTCCTGTCTGGACAACAGCGATGCTGAAAGTAAGTGCAGCGACATAACCTCATTTGCGCGTCAATCACTGCAAAATTTCTGCAATTCCGCACTTTCTCTTGCCTTCCAGCGCGAAGACATGTGTACACGGAGAAGCTGCAGGCCCTGAAGATGCTCAAGACCCATCCGGATGCCCGCATGAAGATATTCGAGCGGGAGGAGGATGCGGAGCGCTGGAGCTTGCACGGCCTTGACTTCAATGCCCAGGATTCGTCGCTGATGAAGTCGCCGGAGGCTGTGACGTCTCCCGTGGCGTCACCGGTGGCGTCTCCGTCGGGCCCGAAGAAGATGTTCAAGGAGCCAAAGATAGAGGAGATGGCGGAATTCAGGAAGTCCATCGAACGAGGCGATATCACGACGGTGCGCGGCAAAATCATGGAGAATCCGCATTTTCTCGTCGGCTGCGGCGACACTCCGGCGATCCTGAAGCAGGGCTACCGCTACAATCCCCTCCACGTGGCCGCCCTGGCCAAGAACGCCGCCATCTGCGAGCTCATTCTCACCACAATCTCCAAGGCCAGCTACATCGAGCGCCTGCACGGCAGCAACGACGCCAAGATCTGCCAGGACGTGAGCAATATTCTCGTGGATCTGTACCTGAACACGCCAGAGACCGGCCGCAACGAGACGCCCGTCCATCTGGCCGTGAAGTACGGCGCCGTGGACGTGGTGAAGATCCTCACGTCCTATCCGCAGTGCAAGTTGCTGCCCAACCGCGAGGGACACTATCCGCAGGACATCGTGTGCTTCCGCGTGGCCAAGCCGGTGGAGGAGGTGGTGAAGGAGATCCAGGGACTGCTGCAGGAGCGATACTTCGTGCCGGTGATTCGATCTGTGGACAATTCCCTGCCGCCGGTCATCGGAGAGCCGTTCTCGCCGAAGAAAATGCCCGATCTCCATGCGGACGCGCTCACGCCGGAGCGCACAATTCACGCCTACGCTGGGCCCATGAACATGGATCAGGCGCAGGAGTTCCGGAAGCGCTGGAAGACGCCGCCTCGCGTCAATGTGCACAGGACAAGTTCCTCCCCGAGTTCGTACAGCCTCTATGCGCGCCCCAACAGTGTGCACGTGTCGACGCCCATCCCCAAGTGCCAGACGAACAACAACAACCACCATCTGAAGGCAAATGACGAGAATTCCAACTTCCCGCCCGCGATATTCGGCCTCAGCAGATCCTTCAGCGCCAACACGCCGGTCTCCAAGAGACTCTTCGGCACGTACCGTGACACGGAGGAGGCGGACTTGGCCGCGACGCCGGACGCGGAGCGCCACCTGAGGCTCACGGACACGGAGAAGGGCCTGGAAGTGGTGGGGCGGAATCTGGCCCACGAGCAGAACGTGGGCTGGAACGAGTATTGGCCCTTCCTGGACGACTTTGTGGATCTCAGCTCGCCGCGCGGCCTCGAGATGCTGGAGAGTCACCTGAAGGCGCGCGACGCTCTCTCGGATCTCTACAGTGCCTTCGATAATCTCAACATCAACGAGAGCTTCAGGCGCGGCGAGTCGACGCCCAGGAGTGGACATGGCGAGCAGCGCTTCGAGTACGATTGCCTGGAGAAGTCGTGGCAGGTGTTTGCGCGGCGCGTGACGAAGACCATCATTCGCGGAATCGACAACGTGATTGTCGTGCACGATGCGCTGAGTGGCGAGATGAAGAGGCTGCAGTCGCTGGTGCAGAGCTACAAGGAGGACGCGCGCTTCAATGGCATCAACTACGACATGGTTCACTCGCGCTTCGGCAGTCTGATCGTGCATTATGTGCTGCTGGACTTTGCCGGCGCCGAGGACAAGGTGGAGTGTCTGAGAGTGTGTCTGGAGCAGATCCTCAGGCAGCGAGTGCGCATGTCCTTCGACGACGGCGTCGACTTCCAAGACGTTCACACCGCAAACTTGATCGCGTCGAATCAACTCAAGTGTCTGGTCACCTTCATTCTCCACTGGTTGGATCATCGGGAGGACATTATCAAGCCGGATCAGCAGATGACGTCGAAGGATTGCGCGGAAGTGTGGTGTTCAGAATTCCAATGCGATTGCATGTCTTTCCCGCCGCTGAGCAGCGCAAATCGGCATGGAAAAGGACGAAACAAGCGACTGGAGAACAGCTTCACGAGGAAACTCTTGGATTTGTCCTCAAGTCTGTCTCTCATCTCGGAAGGTGAGTGAATTTCTTATGAATTTATCAATTCAATCAATTAATTACTCTCTTTGCAGACGACTCCAGTCCGATTGTGCTCAGCGATGAGTTCAAAGAGGACATTAATGATAATCTTCCGGCACCTGAGCGCGAGGATGAAGCGAAAGGTGATGAATTCTGGTCTGGTCACGCTACGCCAGAGAACAGCGATGACGAGGAATTCTTCACGCCACCCGAGAGTCCTGTGCCAGAGTCTAGTGATGACTTTCTGCTGAACAACGCCGGCTGCACGTCCTTCATTCTCGGCCCGGAGCCGTCGAAGATGGACGTTGATGCTGTGAATGCGATCGCCAATGTGGAAATCAACACGCAAACGCATCCTTTTGTGCACAAGTGGAAAACCACTGTGCTGAACTATTCTGCCGAGGAGCGCAAGAGGTGAATCTGTGTGCATAAATCCTTCCCAGGATTGACTCTAACTGCTCTCTGGTCACTTGCAGCTTCCCTTCGCCCGCCGTCGTGGTGAAACGGAGTGTGAAGCACTACGATTCAACGCCTGTGAGCAGTCGTCGGCTGTTTTCGTCGCCAAAAAAGGCCCCTTGATAAGACTGTTGCGAGTGATTAGCCGATCATTCTGCATTGTAGTTCCAAGTTCATACCACAAATGTTGTTTCTTTTTGTATTTTAATTTCAAGTCCCCTTATTTAATAATCGTGAATACGATCTTCCAGATATTTTTCACTCTCATATAGTGTGCAATTCGATGTTTTTTTTTCACTGTATTTCTCTTCCGTATATGATGTATAATGATCAACATAATCCATATCAAATGCTTTGTCAATTAACAAGCTTAACAAAGAAAAAAAAATGATCTGATGAATTTAAAGCGAAAATAGTGTATTATTAACTTGATAAGAGAGACAGAAGAGTTTTTTCCTCACATCGATAATTGCATACTGGATTAACTGATATTGTGTAATTTATAATTTTTCTCTAAACACACTTTATTATTGCTCAAATCGCGCATTTATTTTCACAATGACTGAATAATTACTAGATAAAATCCTAAATTCGCGACACTGATTTTTTCTACACGGAGTTTATATACTTTGGAATAAATGATGAACATCTAAATTTGCAACCAAACTTCTTTGTCTCCTTCCACTCACTGTGTCTTTGTGTGTGAAGAATTCCGTGCTTCTCATGGGAGATAGGGGAAATTGAGTGATTTCTCACCCTGTGCCTGGCTTAAGTGAATGGTTGAGATGTGGGATTGCTTAAATGGGGTGATTTTGAGTCGTTTCTCGTGTTTTCTCAGCTTAATGGCGTGTTTTGGCGGCGTTTTTGCCTCCTGTGGCTCACTTTTTCCCTTTCCCATCTTGAGACTCAAGTTGACTCGCTGCGGTGGTCTGTTGGCCTTCTCCTGCTCAATGTCTTCAAGCACTTGGCGATCCTTGTAGATCATGCAGAACGCCCTCAGCGAGAAGTAATAGAGAATCTCCACGCCGGAGAGCAAGCTGAAGCCCAGAAACAGTCCGGCGATGCCGCCGAACGACACCAGAAGATCCACCCAGCCGAAGAGCACTTCCCTCTTGTAGCGGATGATCGGCCAGGTGAGGTATTCCACGTTAATGTAAGCGCCTCCGTCGTGCGCGGACTCGGCATTCGACGCCTTCGTCAGCTTGTCCACATCGTACACCGTGTTGAGGCAGCTCAGCTCGCACTGTCGGCAATCCGTGATCTGGGTAATGTTCCTGGCGAAACGCGAGAGACAAGAAAGATCCTTTGCTGTGCAGTAGGGCGTCAGGGAGCCGGGAATTGAGTGGTAGAACGGCGGCAAGCACTTGCACAGCTTCACTGCCTTCTCAATGCGACAATCCATCATGCATCCCGTGAAGGTGTAATCCTCGTCGAAGGGGAAGTTCTTGATTCTCACCTCATTCGGGAAGATGCACTTCCTCTGACCGATGCTCAGCTGTCGCGCCTCCTCAGTCGTGTAGGTCTGCTTCATGGTGATGAGGATGTCCGAGGAGAAGTCCGTGCGCCACTCGAGCTGCGGTCGGAAGTCCCAGCCGGAGAGTTCGGATTGAGCGTGGACGAAGACAGCGGCACTGCGCTGGAGGGCGAAGTGAATTGCCCACTTCCTGTCCGTCTCCAGGAGCTCGTGCTGCAGATCGTAGCGCTCGACGGTGGTTTCGGTCTCGCGGAAGCGCGGATTGAAGGCGTAGCAGAAGCCGTGCTCGGTGAACTTGGGCAGAAAACTCTTGCAGCACTCAATTGGATCATCGCGAAATTCACAGGAGACGAACAGATCAGGGCAGGAGATGCTTGAGCCGAAGGCAGCCGATCTAGGTTGAAATGTTAGTTAGAAGCGGCTTTCTTGGCTTCATGGGCGGGGCTTACGCGAGGGCGGGGCCTCTGGAGGGCATTGAAAGGCCCAAGAGGAAGATATTTCAAGTTTATTTTTCATTTTGATGGTAATATTTCCCTCCTGAAGACGCTTTAACTCATAATTTCCCTAGTTAATTACCTGAGAAACAATTCATCCAGATTACTATCACTGAGGATTTCCTCGCTAGCCTTCACAGCCTCGTCCAGATTGGCATACGACAGCTTCGTGAGACTCTTGAGGAAGTCCTCAAACTGCCCGAACTCCAGTCCGATCCTGTCCATTTTCTCATCGGCGAACTCCCTGGCCTTCGTCTCGTCGAAAGGCTCGAGCGGGCAGATGAGGATTGTGGGAAAGATGACGTGCTGAGTGTGGAAATCAGTGTCGAGTCCGGTGATCGTGGGATTGGTCTGGAATTTCTCCCAGAGACTCACGATGATGATGAATGCCGCAACTGCGCCGATTGCAGTGAAGCAGAACCACATAAATCTCTCAATGAACGGTCTTCCGTGCTCGGCGATGTAACGAACGCCATGAAGGGTGGAATTGTTGAAGAATTCCTTCGTCTGCCACAGAAGGCTCGTCCGGAAGAGAGTTCCCAGGGCGAATTCGTCTTCAGCTCTCTTCTCCCTCATGCTTTCTTGTCGCTGTGTCACTCCGGCTGTGATTTTCGGGTGCAACTGCGGCGTATGGAAATGGATTTTCCATTCCACGACAGAGCAATTTAGATAAGCATCGCGATGGGAAAATCAGAATAAATGATGATCAAATGAATATTTCATGCGTCTCCCTTGTTCTTTTGCGGCTGAGGTGACTCTTTCTGTCCATATAAACATTTGGCGGCGCAGCGTTATATCACGCAAAGATATTGAGTCTCAGTTAATTAAGTGATTGTCAAAGTGGAAATAAGTGCACAAAAGAGGCCATAATTCATGTGACGGAATCAGATCTTGGGCGATAGAGTTGGCTTTCCGCGCGAAAATTAATTGAAATCCCACTAATTCGTCTCTGCTGCCACAATGTATGATCTTCGCGGTGCACACAAGTGACTCTTTGAGAGTGATTCATGCTCATCCTCTTGGCACACGGCCCAATTGTTAGTCCCCGCGCGAACTAATAATGGTGTGCGTCACACCCTTTCCCGCGAAAAGAAAACATGTCCTATGCGCGAGCCTCCCCGCCGTCTTCAGCAAAGTCTTCACCGCCACCCGAGCAGATCTGCCAGCAAGAGGCAGATAGCTAGGCTCTCTGGCTGCAAACTTGGTGTTCAGGAAGTCCTTGCTTTTCCTCGGAATACTCGTGCTTTGCATCCAATTTTAGCCATTTTCTTTCAATCTCCTTATAAACATCTTATGCATTTTCCATTTCAATTTCTTATTCACATAATTGTTCATTAATTGAAAGGGCAATTCGGGAAACATGATTTTTCTCACGAGTTATTTTCCCCTCGTCAGCAACAAAGTCGCCTTTCTGCCACGCCGAGTTTTCCATGCTTTCGCGCAAATCTCTTTCAATTACCTGAACGAGTGCTCAAATTAATTGCAACGTGCCAGAGCATCACGTCTTCAAACGTGTGCACTTTTTCGAGAGCGTCTCCCGAGCAAGAGAAGCCGCGACAGCGCCAGGAAAAACATGTCAGAGTGAATGCACCTTGCAATGAAATCTAAAAGTGGTGTTTACTTGCAATAATTAGACGCAGGCGATGACATATCGAGGCAAATTTTGCATTAACAATCTCTGTGCCCAGTTTATTATATTTTGTGGCTGAGCAGAGGAAACACATCAGCATGAAATATGGAGCTTTTATGTTATGATGGAAATTAATAGTAATTCGACTCTCCAGTTTTCGGTTGGTGGAGATCATCGAAAGTGCGCCACAAGATTTTTCCCTGAAATTTCATCAAGATTTATTAGAGACTCTCCATCTCTGAAGCATTAAATCTCACATCCTGTTGCTCAGTGAATTTTCAGCACTGTGCGCTTCTCCTTTTAATTTAGGGCACTCTATTTCTTCTTTCGTAACTTTTTTGTGTGACTGTCGCGTGTGTTCTTTTCCTTGTTGTCTTCCGCGGGACGCACATTTCTATGTATGTAGAAGTGACGACGATTGTGTGCAGAAATGAGAATATGAAATATTAGATATATTTTCCTCTCTTCTCCGCTGTGATGATCTTGAGTTATTTATGAATTAGTTTTTCTTCTCAGGCGTGAATTTAAATTACATGCGGACTCTTTTTTGTCCATCGCGCGCGCTTTTCCCTCTTCGTCATATCGGCATTCCATCAAAAGAGGCGAGAATTTATTTATTAACCCACCACACAGAGAGAGATCAACGTCCAGTGTGATGTGAGGAAGTGCGCAAATCCTGGCGTCTCCCAATTCCGGATCCGGATGGACAGAGAAGCTGCCGGGAATCCGGAGAGAGCGCGAGAGGGATTCACTGATGTGCCACCAATGATTGCGGAGTCACAACAAATTCAAATAGTGGAAAAGCAGCCGCCAAATAAACAGAAATTACGCACACGCAATGGGGCTGAGTGCCAAGAAAAGCAGCCAAGGAGACGTGGCGTCAAAGGGGACCGGACGGGCGGGTGTTTTCTCTCTCGCAGAATTTTGAAGATGAGCCAAAACGGGAGAGAAAAGTCCCCAGGGGCTAATCATTCCACCTCCGAATGGACTTAGTTTGCCAGGACATTTGCTGAAACATCCGTGAGAGTCTTTTTGTGGTTAAAAGATGTTCAGTCGTGATTAGGAAACCACAAAAAACCGATTAACAAAGAAGGAAAATTATGTGGTTAAAATATAAGGATGAACATTTTTTAAGAATAACATGAAAGCGAAGAAAAAACGATCGATATCAGTTACATTTCCAGGTTACAGACATCCGAAAAACTCCCTTTGACTCTTAACTCAACTTCACAATTTGCAATGAATGCACTCAACTTTAACTAGCTTTTAAAGTCCTTGTTTCCATTTTCCTCCTTCACATCCATCCGAAAGCGAATTTCAGTAAATTCCTCACGATCTGCTCTTGGGAAATTGAACATGACGACAATAATGAGTCAATCTTCCATTCTTCTTCACGCTTCTCGCTGCGCATATTGTTCTCAATTCCCCTTTGTTCGCTGCCTCCGGAATGACACACCCCTGGGGCAGAGGCGCGAGTTCCGTCGAGACGCCGTCTTGCTGAGTGTCTGCGGTGTCTGGCTCTCAGTTCTTATTCACCGCCGCTCGTGACTGGATCGCGCAGCTCAGCAGATCCGCGCGGACTCTTCATCATCCCGAGGATAAATCATGCATGGGCAAGTGAATGAGTGCGGACATTAGTGAGTGCGACGGAGAGACTCTGTGACACTCACGCGGCGCTCTTAGTTGCATTCGGGTGGCGAGAGTTGGAAGATCGCGATCGGTGATCTTAAAATAGTGCACACAGAGAAGATCTCTTTCGTAAGAGGTTGACACGCATCATTTGCTCGTACAATTGACTTTCTCAAATTCCCCAACAAACACACACGCTCTCTTTCCTACCCTTCTAAATGTGCTCCTTTTGGGAAGTGTTTTGCAGAGAGTGATTTCCTTTGTTGAGGGAGAGATTGTTTTCCTTGCATTTCTTCCAAGTGTAAAGTGTGTGGAATTCTGTGCAAATAAGTGAAGAAAAATTGCGTGCAATGAAATTGTGGAAGTCAAAAAAGAGCTCTAGCTGTGTTCCTGGAAAGTCCTCATCAACGAAGCACGATGACAAAGTGGATTCCAGCATTTCTGCCACAAGTAAGCGTTTTCTTAATGCCTTCATGATCAAATTATCTCACGAGACGATGGCGGAGGCCAAATAAAAATGCCTATACAAGAGTTAATTGAATGAACCAACAAATACGGAGTTAATTGTCTGTGGGAGCAATAACAATTTTCACATGAAACACTGTATCGAAGCAAATGCACTTGGCGGCAATTAACCAAAATGGTTAAACAATTTTAATGTGATTCATTTCTTTCCCTTCTCCAAATTCACTCCTCTTTATTATATGCTCTCTGGTCTCAAGTAGCAGAAGTGCCCACTGTTGCCTCCTCTTGTTGTTTGTCTCTATTTTGAGCGCAATGTCTTCTTCTGGAACATCCTTCCTATTTCTTCTTTTCCTTCCTCGTCAACTGCAGCCACAGCAATTGCCATTATCTCGCGCGATGCTTATTTATTTTCTTTAGCCATCTCCATGAAGAAACATCGCTCAGGAATGTCTCAATGTTCTCTGGCAGCCTGAATGAGAGAAACATGAAAATTCTCCCTTTCTTTCCCGACCCCTGGCGACTCTCCGCAGCGCCTTGTCTCACAAAAGTCCTCCGCCTCCGACTGCCAGATATTTATCGTCGGCAAGTGGCCACAATTTTGCTGCACAATAACAAATATTCATTGCTAAACAATGTCTCTTCGGCAACACGATACTCTCGCGTAATCAAATTCATAAATTAATTAAGTCAGAGGCCATGAATTTCGGAGGGAGAGAATAGTGTTTTTTTTTCGGGAGTCAGAGCATCGCGCATAAACCTTTCAACAATGTTGCTTTTATGAGGAAAATTTGCTCGTAAAACTCTTTCTTTGCGTCTAATTTAACGCTCATGCATGCCATCATTTACCTCGGTCCCAAAGTACCAAAACGCGTCAATCGACATATTATGGCGATCAATGTTGGAGGGAACGCGAGCAATTTGTCTTCAACGCCATCCAAATGGGGTAATTTATGTCAATAGATTGCAGAAGAGGGTGTGTAGGCATTTGATACGGCAATTGTGCTGCTTGCAACTGACTTGGAAGATTCATTAGGAGGATCTTGAGTGGTGCATTCCACCAGGAAGCATTACAGCCTCAAGTACTCACGCACAAGCGATGTCTCCGCTGGCGGAGATTCTATATGAAAATTGTGACGCTCCGTTTAATTCTTGGCCTCGCCATCCATACATCATGGGTTGAAGGCAAAATTGCAATTAAAATAAGTGAATTGGAACGTGAAGACAGAAATGGTTTTGTCCTCATGATCATCGCTCTTGCCATATTGCTCAATGGTCAGAGAATAATTTCTCGCGCTGTGTGAAATGTCAATATAATTTAATTAGCATAGGAGCAAACTTTTATAATGTGGTGGGATTTTACGAGACTCTCTGTGAAGAATTGAGAGACTGACAAATTGCCGGGAGATCCCTAAGAAGTGACGCCCAGAAGGTGAGGAGAAGGAAACATTAGAGACACATTCACTTCTGTGAAATTCCCATTCATTGGCAAGAGAATCATCATGACAAATTGCCACTGACATCGCGCTGTGCCGTGTTGCTTTAAAATTAAACCATCATTTTCATCAAAGCGCATTTCCTGCCAAAAGATTTAATCTCTCCGCGCCACTTTCCAGGCGATCGCGCCATGAGTCCAGCGCAGAGCGAGGACTCGGGATTGGCGGCGGATCGCGGCACGACGTACGCCACGATCTCCCTGCCACGGGAGAATGCCCAGGCGATGGGCATCCTCTTCCTGGACAGAGCCGATCTCACGTATCCGCCCGTGATTGCGACGCTGAACGCTCTGGGGCCGGCAGCGGATTTCCTAGCGCCGGGCGATCGGATCCACCAGATCGACGGCATCTCGACCATCGGACTGACCAATGAGCACGTGATGAACATCCTGTATCACGGAAACGGACCGGCTGTTGTGGAGATCGAGTATTCACTTCCGGAATATTGTGAGTCTTGAAGTGAAAATGTATTGAAAACTTCTTCTAATATTTCTTCCTAAATCTTTGAGTCATTTTGGTTGTTTTTTTTTGTTAAGCGATTTGTCTCGGAATCGCAGAATAGCGTCTTGAAATCCCTCAAGAGTTGGAAATTCATGCAGACAAGAAACTAACAAAGGATTAATGATGCTGTGTCTCCATTTTTCTTGTCTTTCGCCTCATTTTTTCACGACTTCTTGCAGTGTCGCAGAACAGTCTGTGCGTGACAACGAAGCTCACTCAGATCACTGTGGAGAGGGAGAACGGGTGTCTGGGCCTGACACTCCGCGGTGGCGGAGACTTTCCCTTGATCGTCACTAACATCCGACCACATGGTCCTGTCTACAAGTGTGGCAGAATAAAGCCCGGTGATCGCCTCTTGCGCGTCGACAATGTAAGTGAGACTTCTCTGCGGTCTGTCCCATCGGATTAACTCCCTCTGCGTGCAGGTCTCACTCATCAACAAGACGCTATCGGAGGCGCAGCAGATCCTCAAGTGTGGCCACTTGTCGGGCCTCACGAACCTGACCATCGAGTACGATGTTTCGGTTATGCAGAGCGTGGAGTTCTCAATGGGGCCGCTGCTCATCGAGATCGAGCGCTCGGCCAACGACAAGCTGGGCATCGTGCTGAGCAACTCCTGTCCGACTGGCAACGGAAAGGTGGACGACATCGTGCAGGCTGGCGTCTTCATTGCCAACATCCTTCCCGCCTCGCTGGCCGATCGCACGGGCGCCCTTTCGATCGGCGACAAGATCCAGAGCGTGGACGACACGCTCGTGGAGAACACCTCGCTCGCTCCCGAGGACGTGATGCAACTCCTGGACGCCAACACGAATCGCGGCTTCACGCAGATCCAGATTCTGCCGGCGCACGCCATCGCCAGACTGCGAGGTGAGTTTTCACAGCCAAATTGTGATTGATCGCTCTCAGCATTTTCGCCAATTTTCACGCACCCACGCGTGCAATTTGTGAGTCATCTCGCCAGTGTTTTCCTTCATGGACAATTTCTGTGATGAGCTAAAAGATACAATTTTAGCGCTTGATTGACAGAAAATGTCACGAAGAAGCACAATTTAGCAAATCAGACTTGGATTCAATTCCATTCGCCCATTCAAATCAATATTATTATAGTTTGTTTACTGACTGAGAAGCTAATGTTCGTTTTACTGCTTCAATAACATATCAATTTACTTCAGGAAATAATTCATCATTAAATCCTCACCCAACATTTGTGCGCCTTTTACTACTTCCTAAAGTGTGTGCATTTGAATCTCTTCTTTCTCTCTCTCTCTCTCTCTCTCTCTTCCCATTCAATTTACGCGGTGTAGTCAATAATAAATCATAAATCATGCTTTTCGTTATTAAAGGCATATTCTCTCTCTGTGTGTTCACATGGACTCGCTTAATGAAGTGCAGAGATGGACAGGAACTCAAAATAAATACCCGTCACTTGGTGGAGAAGCACAAACAAACATCTCAAAGTGGGGGATTTATTTTTTTCACTTTGCCTCTCTTCTCAATTTTCTCTGGGGTTTTTCTTCTCCTTTGCGCGCGCGAAGGCACATTTTCCGAATGAGATGGAAAATGAAGCGTGGCTGAGGCGATATGAATTGTGGGCGAATATTTTTAGAGACAATCCATGACAGCTGCATACGTAAGAAGACGCAGAGAGCCAATAAAACGGATGTACGACACACTCAAGAGATGACGATGATTCCGAGACGTCTCAATGCTCCATCATTTTGCTCAATTCTGGCCATTTAATGGGCCATTTTCCCCGGAGAAAAGGGCGCGAAAGGCGTCTTCCCCCTCATTTAGTGATGAATTCCTCTGGCTCGCGATCTTCCCTACCTTTTTTTCTCCTGTCGCCAGTGCTGGGAAAATATGGGGCTATTTTTGGGATGTAGAAATGAAGGAAATTCCTCCAAAGTGACTAACGGCGTGCCTTCTTTTTCTCCCCATCTTTATTTGCTATTTTTTCCACTTTGCAGACTTAAACCATTTGGACGCTTTTGTGGAGCTTCCAAAACATCACACCAGCTGTTTTTACTCCTTTTCCTTCTCTATTTTTGGGGAAGAGATTGACTGATTCATTGGTAGTTTTCCATGGAACTCAAGCTTGCTCAAGATCTGCACGAGTTTCAAGAGGAAAACAAGTCATGATTATTTCTCCAGTTGTGAAAAAACCTGTCTTCTGCATTATTACTCCGTTTCAAGTTAAAAATTTCATGTTTTACTCAACCTTTTTCAACTATAAGTTGTAATTCTATGTAAATTGAAGCTTCAGAAGCTACGCCCTCTCGAAAGCCACGCCCATTTGTACCACTATTTAAATCTCATCAGTTTCACTCTTCACGGAAGATATTTTACCGGAAAAGAAGCTTATTATTCACGAATTATCTGCCCCTTGATGCATTCTCAAAGTGTCGAGGGATCCTCATGGATTAAGCACTCAAATAAGTAAGACATTCTCTCACCTTTCAGGCATGCAACACCAAAATGGGAACACTGCCAAATACGGCTTCAACACGCTGGAGTCGCGCAAGATGCGCCAGAAGAAGTTCATGCGGAAGAGTTCACTGCCCTTGCTGGAGACTTCCGGAAGTGGCAGCTTGATGTGTCGCTCTGAGATTGTGCAAGTGGTTCTGGACTGCTCCCAGGGATCAGGCATTTGTCTGGGAGCGCCGAGTCCTTGTGGCCGCGGCTTCACCATTGCTCAAGTCATCCCGGACTCTGTGGCGGATCGATCGGGCTGCATCCAGAAGGGAGATCGCCTTCTGGCCGTGAACAAACTCTACGGCCTGGACATCACCACAGTTCGGCAAATCCTGGGCGACTTCACGTACAAGAACATGCACCAGAAAATTGCTCCCAATTGGGTGGAAGTGGAGATTGAGTTCAACATGTCAGACTCCGTAATTCCCTCCAGTGGCGTCTTCAACGTGAAGCTACTCAAGCATCAAGAGCACAGTGAATTGGGCATCACGGTGAATGCCACGAATAGCGGCGCCTTCATCATAACAGACGTGAAGCAGGGCAGTGCAGCTCATCGCACAGGATCTCTCAGGGCGGGAGACATTCTCCTGGCGGTGGATTCACAGCCTCTGCAGCACTACAATGTGGACGCGCTGCTGAAAGACAACAAGAATGACTTCACAACACTCACAATCAAGCGCACTTGCCTTCCAGACTTCCTCTTTGACGCCCAGTATCGCAACAACTTCATCTACAGCAGCACAGAGACGAGGATTGCGGACAACCACTCACCGTCGTCGTACAGCTACGGAGGCACGGCGAAGAGGAATGAAGCTGGCAGATGTGAGCAGAGGATCAATGCTGGGAACCAGGCGGATTTCTATCAGATGGATGAGAACTTGATAGGGAATGGCTTGATGACCATTCGAAGACCGCCGCCGTTCTCAAATTCCCTCACCAACATTGAATTGACTCCTCTCGGGAACTCCACGCTCAAGACAGACAACAATCCCTCGGACATCGCGGAAGACTCCTTCGCGGAGATGGAAGGATATCCTGAGTATTTCCAGACGTACTACAAGTAACTATTGTTCTGAAATTGAGCGCTATGAGAAATGCTTCAAAACTTCCTTTCTCTCCTTTCAGTCTGGAAATGCCTTTGCCGCTAAATACTTACTCAAGTCCTTCACACCAAGTCGTCAGCACCGTGAGACTGGAGACCAAAGGAGGACCGCTCGGGATCACTCTGGCCGGAAGTGAGAACCTGCAGAAGCCCATCGTGATCAGTGCCTTTGTGGACGGCGGAGTTGCGCACACGTCCGGAAAACTGTGCATAGGAGACGAAATACTCGCCATCAATGGCGAGAACATTTTGGGCGTTCCTCTGAGCACCGCCACGAAGCTTCTGCAGCGTTTCGAGAATGTGGTGGAGCTGAAGATTGCCAGGAATCGCATGGACGGTGGTGAGAATGCAGCTTCCCTTCCGCAACCGCAGGCGATCTACAGCAAAGTCCACAGACGACCACGGAGTCCTTCAGTCACCGATGCTCTGTCCACGTCTTCGAGCGCCGAGGGACGCTTCAAGACCATCCACGTGACGCTATACAAGGACAAGGTGTACGATGACTACGGCTTCTCCCTCTCGGATGGACTCTATGAGCGAGGCGTGTACATAAACAGGATAAGAAGCGGAGGTCCTGCGGATGCTGTTGGTCTGCTCAAGTCTTTCGACCGTATTATGATGGTTGGTAGAGTCTGAAAGTTCGCTATTCGCTGTATTGTGATGCCTTTATCATTTTCATCCTTCAGGTGAACGGGACGAAAACGCAGGACTTCGACTGCTGCTTAACAGTGCCATTGATCGCAGCGAGTGGAGATAAGATTGATATGATCGTCCAGAGATCAATTTCCGACTAAGAAAGCGCCAAATTCTGCAATATATATTTGATATTAAATTCCATTTAGTGACAGCAACAAAAATCGAACTGATTCCCACTGAAACGTGAGGAAAGAGAGAAATATTAGTGCCATAATCTAGTGCTGCATATTTTAATCTAACTTAATCGCATAATGTGAATGACGAAAATTGTAATGGAACAAAACCACAGTGTTTATCAAAAATATACACAATAATAGGCGAATTCCTCGGCTCTTTCGTGGAACTCTGGACCATCGCATAGTGAGACATTTTTTATTCAATCAATTAATTAGTCTCAACTATGCTGGGTGTATCAATATTGACGTCATATTTACTCATTTCTGATATTTTTTGACCTATGATCTGCGTCTGTGAGCGATTGGATGTTCTCTTCAATAGTAATAAACATGTATGTATTCCGCCGATAAGATATTTTTGTCTAGTCCAAGACGGCCTGCGAGATCAGTCGTTCTTGGTATTTGCTCGTGAAAACATCCTCCAAATAGCAATCCACCACAGATCGCCAATCGCACAGGCAAAATAGGGTGAAGATCGAGTGCCGAATGGACACAGAGTGTGTGTGTTGTTAAAGTATTGTGAAATGTGCTGACATTGAATTCTATCATCTCAGCATTTTCAATTTAACTTATTCGCCAAAGTGAAGAGGAACCATGATCCTGCCAAACAACACAGGCGGCTTTATGCTGCAAACTATGCTCTATCTGGCCAACCAGCGGCCAAACGAGAGCAGTTTCCACGAGCTGTACAATCTCCCGCCCGGAATGTCGCCCGCAGGTGAGTCCCAAGGGGGAGATATTGTGCCTGGGAAGTGGTGTACAGCTCAAACGTGGCAGAGAAAGTGCTTAAATATGCTCAATATTTGTCTCGACGATCCTTTCCCAGCCATTTCTTATCGAACACTCATCGTGAATCAATAGAAAAAATGAAAATCTACACGACAAATATCCTGAAGACACCTTGGATTCATTTATGGCCCATTAAGAACCCAAAATATAACTAAAGTGGCGAAAATTCAAGTATTCCTCAGGTGGAAGATTGATTACTGCTTTGATTAGGTTTTAGCATCTCAAAAGGATTAAGGATTATGTCGAATAGCTTCAAACTTGGCATGGTAATTACTTATTAGTGAGGGAAGATTGGTAGGAAAATTCAGACTTCTAGCTTCACTCTTTTTGATTTGGAGTCACTTTAAAAAAGTTGTGCAAGTGTCAGATATATTATCTTCCCCTTGGCGTGTTCCTTTGCCAGCTCTCTATCCGGAAAGCGCCTCGTGATTCAGCAGAAAAGAGAGTCTGTGGCTAAAATTAGACATGTCCACGGATCAGTGAAAAAGTCACGTTCGGAACTTTCTAAGTCCGCGATTCGTCAGTAAAACCATTATCAAAGTTATCAGCAGAAGATGTAAAACTCAGAAAATCCCCCGGAATTTCCAATTTTTCAGTCTCAATCTTGTGTGACAAAAGTCCTCCTATTTGGGCAGTTCCGGGAGTGACGCAGAAACCTGCCCTTCTTCCATTTAATATGCGTCTTCCCAGGCACGGAAAAAAATACTCGTTCATTGATAAAAATACACATTATTTCTTGCAAGACAAAACAAAATTGTGGCATGATTTAAAATGGGCCAAAGTTTAATTTTCTATCTCAATCAATTGAATAATCCAATTCCTAATGGGATGAAGTCAAGAGTCTTGTTATGCACGAGGTCGCATAAACCACATAAACTGTGACAATTTATGCCAAGTGCATCGATGTGCTAAAATTGAATGAAATTGCAAATTAATATGCAGAATTAGCTTGGGTGAATCATTAGCAGGAAATTTCATTTTCTGCCAATTTAGTGGCGCAAAAGGTCATGAAATTCATGTGGAATTTGCTCGAATAATTGTGATAAATGTATTCTGTAAACAAATCCAATCATTTCTTGTTTATACCGAAAATAATATAAAATTGATCATTGAAACTTTTCTCAATGCTTCACAATGAAAACAAAGAGACGATAAATGAAATTATAAATGATAGCAAAGAGCTTAATGTTAATTTAGGTAACGATTAAAGTCTACAAACAGCAGATGTGACCTTCCATCGCCAGATGGCGTGTTTGCTCGATACATATGTGTGATATGTACATAAGTAACTCAAACAGCGCTCGATGCAGCATATGCTTCGTGCTCACTGTAACGACTTTTTCCCTTTTTGCCACAGATATAAACGACATCAAGTGCTATGGAGTGTACGGATGCTTTCCAATAACACCGCCATGGACTGTTAAAACGCGGCCCGTGAGCTTGTATCCTGAGAGTCCGTCGAAGATTGACCCGCATTTTCCGGTGTTCAATAAAAACACACGAGATTTGCCCAAATTCATCGACATCAATGATCCGGAGAAGATCAGAAGTGTGGGAATTGATCCGAAGGGGAACATTTACTTCGTCGCTCATGGATATCTGGAGTCAGGAGACAGACCTTGGGTAGGATTTGGCACTCAAGCTGAAGACTTTGACTTCCTAATTGTGATATTTCTGGCAGATTCAAGCAATGGTGAATGCGCTGCTCGATGAAGATCTCTACGGCACTGCAAGTGTGGTGGTTGTGGATTGGGGAGGAGGCTCGAGTCCTCCCTACACTCAAGCTGTGGCCAACATTCGTCTCGTGGGCGCCATAGCAGCGCACATAATTAACTTGATTCACGTAAGAAGCTCTTTCGGCGTGTGAAGCACATCTCACTTGACTGTAATTCGCAGGAGGAGCTGAATCTGCCCAATTTGGACAAAGTGCACATGATCGGCCACTCCCTGGGCTCCCATCTCTCCGGCTACGCGGGCTTCACCCTTCAGCGCGACTTCAATCTGACGCTGGGTCGCATTACGGGCATGGATCCGGCGGAGCCGCTTTTCTCCCACGTGGATCCCATCGTGCGCCTCGATCGCACGGACGCCAAATATGTGGACATTATACACTCGGACGCGCGGCCATTCACCAGCGGGGGTCTTGGAATGTCGCAGGTGATTGGCCACTTGGACTTCTTCCCCAACGGCGGCTTCAACAATCCCGGCTGCAACGAGGACATGTCCACGTACATCGAGCAAGAGCGCGGTTCCTTCTTCTGGGGCGTGCAGCAGTTCGTCAGCTGCAACCACATCCGGAGCCATCAGTTCTTCCTGGAGAGCATCTCACCCAAGTGTCCATTCATCGCCATCACCTGCGAAAGCTACGAGGTGGGCAGAGATAGTAGTGAATCCCTCTCAGACTTCTAACGCTCTCTGGTCAATTTTCCAGAGCTTCAAGGCGGGCAATTGCTTTCAGTGCGATCGCGACGGTCACAAGTGCTTCCAGTTCGGATTCCACAGCTACAGGAGCTACAGACGAGCCATCGAGAGTGGAAGCATCGTGGAGAGCAGCTCCCAGAAGGCCTTCCTCATCACAGACGCGCAGAAGCCCTACTGCCGTACGTCTCAGGCTATAAAGCTGTTATCAATTTGATGTTGGGTGATTAATCAATTATGCTCCCTTTCGGCAGGCACACACTACAAGGTGCGAATAAAAATTTCCAACTCAGAGGAGAGTGTTCTGCACGGTGGAGAAATTGGCATGATGTCCATCATCATTCGATCGCACCACAACACGGAGACGGAGAAGATGCCATTCACAGCCGAGCCGACGTACTACGAGCCCGGCCACAAGTACGTGTCCGTGCTGCCGGGAAAGGACGTGGGCATTCCCAAGTATGCCATCGTCAACTGGGAGTACAAGACGAATCCGCTGAATCCGCTCACGTGGCGTCTCATCGCCAGTCCGCGCGTCTACATTGAGTACATCATTGTCGAGTCGCTGGAGCACAAATCTAAGTGAGTTCCGTGACTATTCCTTAGAGAGTCCTTGACTAAGACTTTCCCTCCACAGTTTGCGCCTGTGTCCAATGTTCAATACGCCCGTTGTTGCCGACACGCCGAATATCTTCCGCCATGATTACTGCCGATGAATCAAGATCATTTTCTGTATTTGTGATTTCAACCACGCGACACAATAAAATAGATTCACTTTCCTCATGAGAGACATTGAGATATTGTTGATGGCATCCTTGGGGGTTCTCTTGTCCCTTCTCAACAACCATCTCTCGCCATGAGGTCTGGAATCGGAGGGCATTTCATGCCTTGTTTCCTATTTAATTTATTTAGGTCAAAATGGGTCAAGATGGTCAAGGAGATCACCTGTTTTCCATCTTCCACCTTCGTCTACACATAATTTTAATTGAAACGTTATCACGCGTCTTCGCGTCGTTGACTTGAGCCAATTAAATTTAATTGGACATCTGTTAAGGAAACCATTTTAGTAGAGAAAAATATGTAAGCTTTTTGTGTGTTATAAACATTGTGCGATTTATATGATAATTTATTTTATTATCATGCAAATTTTTGTCATTTCTCATTGTGGAATTCTTCGAATATTCTTCTGCATTTTGTTGTATTTCCTTGCAATCATTTTGGCTGAAAAGAAAATTATATATTTAATATAATGAATATTATAATTCTTCCTGGGTTAACAAATTATCTCCTATTCTTTCCATCTTCAATTTAGAGTCAATATCAATTTTGATGTTGATTCGAAAAACACATTAAATTGTCTGAGAAAACAACATTTTTACTTAAAATTTACATAAATTTTCAAGATCATGCTTTGGAGAAATTTGTAGTGTGTAAATTATTAAGCAGCGGGATATTTATATCATATATCACCATCAATGGAATTAAAATTAGATAAAAGTCATACTTTTTGTGGTCTCTCAAGAAAACACACAAAATCCCAACCATTTCCAGGTGACAGACAAAGAAGATCTTCAGGAAATGCTGTGTTTTGGGATACTTTTTTTCCTGTGGTTTCTCAGGATCTTCAGCGATCGTATCGTGACGGAAGGCAGCGATCGTAAATCAAACTTCCTTATCCTGGACGATATCAACGCAATTTATGGGGACAAGAATCCTCGCTGGGCTCACGAGGATGCTTTCAGGCTGGACAAGGGGACAATATTATATATTATAAATATGTGGTGAGTTAATTTTCACTGTGGAACAGTTGAGGCACTCGCCTATCGATAAATAACACTATTATGGTGTGTGTTATTCACCGAGAGATCGTTGAATTTTATGAAGATGACAAAGGCAATGTTGATTTCCACCTCCAAAGCAATGGCTTGAATACTCCTATAAAATTGGACAGACTGCAAATTAAACAATTATTCGCGATTCAGGTTTTATCATCGTAATTCCTGCGATGACAATCCATTAAAGTGATACAAGAAATCAATAAATTGAGCCATTTGATTTTACTGTGTGGACCATAATGGCAAATTAGTGGTATTAAATTATGATAATGCGCTCCTTCCTCGTCTCGCACCGAAAGTCCCCACACATTGGCGAAGACACGGCCAGAGAATGGAAGAAGTTGAGAGTATTATTCATCACAGTTGGGGTTGTGTGAGAATAAATCGCTTCAATGATAAACAGTGTAACTTGGCGTGCTCCATCAACAGCCAAATTGCCATTTCTTGTACCTTCTTATCTCTAATAATGGTTGGACACGGAATTTGCAATTCTGCTATAATGTTATTCACTTACCCCAGAAGATACACACACGTGATATTTTAGTGCATTTTCATACATTAACAACAGCATGGATGGGCTCTGAGTGAATTTCTCTGCTCTCAATTGCCATTTGCTTGGCTGCGAATCAACTGGATTGAGCCATGCAGTGGCGTTAATTCGTGAGGATGTGAGAAATAGTGTCTAAATGCATTTCTGTGTGGCTTCTTGAGGCGTTCGCACATGCTTCAAACAAAAAAGCGATAAATTCTTTTATCCAAATTGACCTCTATTAAGAATTCTCCCTTCCCGCGAGAATGTGTAACACTACTTTGCACTAATGCGGTTGGAGGGAAAAAAAAATTAATTTATTTAATTCATGAGCCAAAAAACGGGGGGATGAGAGAAAGATGATGATAAACAGTCGGGGAGGCACAAACACGACCTTTATGAAGCACTTCTTGAGTCTCCTTGCGTGTCTATGTCTGAGCTGAAGAGACACACACGGGAGAAAATCAATGATATCCATATCGTGTTATTGATTTATTGGCCCGCGAACAACCTCCGGACGTGATACGTGTGGAGAGTAGCACCTAAAATTCCGCCTGCGGCCGCCTGAGCGGAATCACGAGTGGCCCCTGGACATTCGCCGGAGGTCCCGGCGAATTTGGCAGGCGCATTCCCACTTTTTCCCGAGTGCACGCGCCAAAAATGCAACTCTCGCAACTCGTGTCTGCAATGTTTATGTTATCACTGAATTATGCATACATTTTTATGAATTATTGCAGTGTTTGTGAAGAGACAAACACTTCTCGCCAGTCCTCTCAAGTTGCGTGGTTTGTGTGTAGAATTCATAAAATTCACACTTTTTATCATCGCAGCAATTGATCGTATAACTTCTGGCTGCCGTGCAATTGCCCTCTTAATTCATCACAAGCCAGAGAGAGAAGAGACTTTATGGCGAGGCGCGAGAAACAATAAAAATAGTTTCTTTAATATGACATTTTCCACAATGTTCTGTTTTATTCTCGCACTACACTTAAAAATTTATGCTTGTCTTCTTGCACTCTTATTTATTATTGTTTCTCAGACACAAAACATGAACGGTTCTTGCGTTTTGCGAGAACCAAGGGAGGCGATAAAAAGGCTGAACACCATATCCTGACACTTCAGCAAACCTCATGAGAAGTGGAAGTGTTGAAAAACTCACAATCTTCCTTTCCTTCGTCCTTTTCTTACTGACTAATCATTTTGGTCCTTTGTATTTCTTTTGAATTGTAGAAAGAAACAATCATTTTCTAGGTTATGTAACAAATCAAGGACAGATTTAGTGAATAATTCGCATTCTAGCACATCAATTCTTATGCGAAAGTCATCAAAATGGATGCAAACTTAAGAAGTTCACAATAATTTGTGATTTAGTGTGGAAATAGTTAAAGAATTTCAAATGCTGGAAGTGTTTGGTGTTAACAACAATTCTCCTGTTGAATGTACACCGCTTCCAGCCACAATCTCTCCCCCTTGCGAGAACACCTCTGCTTGGGAGTGCGTAAAACTTTATTCAAAACTCCATCTATATGACTCATTTATGTCCATTTCCGATGATTCAATAAAGGTGCATTAAATTTTTTATCATCTCACGGTGAAACATTATTTATGCCCGCGAGGCTGCTTAATCTGAATGATGGTCTCTTCGCCACCAAGAATGGACTCTGGTGGAAATTTCTTCACGTAGCATCTAAAATGGCTATCCGGCACATTTGTTTGATATGCCAGAGCCGTGAAAAAATTGCAAGAAAGCCATTGTTCTGGTGGCGCGCGCAAAAAGGGGGCCTGAAAACCACAGAAATTGGTGAAAGAGAGACGGAACATATTATAATATTGTCAGTAGGAATCAGACATGGAGGTTTGCCATTACTTTTTGTTTGTTTTCTCCGTCAGCTTCTATCAACGCCCTTCAGCAATTTCAATTTGGCCAGACTTTATTGTTTCCCAACCACGGCATGAAGCGCATCTACACACAACAAAACATGGGAACTGAAGAGTGCGCCAAAAATCGGGCCGAAGGAGGGGCAGAGGGGGGCCCAGGGCGCCCCGTGTGCGTTCAATTTGTATTAAAATAACAAGAAGAGCCATCAACTGCTGTATTCTATTTCGCCATTTGAGGAACAATAAAATTATTATTTATGTGGCAACCCTTCATGCAAATGCAGACATTCATATGGCATCGCTATTGCATGCTTGTGGGCAGTTCATTTCACCTGTTAGACTCTCACGGCACTTGTGTCTCTCTCGGAGCATCCCACCCGATCAATTTGGAAGAAGAATCATTCACGCACACGAAGATGAGGAGGAACTTGTGTGCCCAAGACCGATTACAATCTCCACGTTGAGTTAGTGAAACGTCTCGTCTCATCAGAAAAATTGATTTGAAGGGTAGATCGGAGAGAATTCCCGTGTAAATCCCATCAAAATCCGTGTAACATTGGAAGGCGCGCAATCCAATCAAATTCTTCATGCCAATAAGAAGACCACTTGCAAGGGGAGGACATTTCAGCCAGAAGTGATGTACAGATCAACAGAAGTGCAGAAAAACTAGTAAAATCGTATTCTCAAAAGCTTCTTTCCCAAGTAATTAACACACACATTAAAGTATTTAATTAGATTAGAATTTTCTATGATCTTTTTGTACATAAATAATACACCATAATACTTTTCTAGGTTATGTGATCGATTTAAGTAAGACACTCAGTAAGTAAAACTTCTTCTAAAACATCCGTTCTTAAGCTTAGTTCGAAAACTCTTCTATTTATTAGCAGAATAAAACACTTGTGTGAAATAAAATTGTGATTCTGGACCTTTAGATGATGAGAAGTACCGCAATTGTACTCAAGTCGAGCATAACCTCAAAATGAGGATCTTACATTTCTAAAATGTCCCTGAAAATGCCAATTTCAAATGATTTTGGATGTAATTTGCAATAATAACAACTATTTTGAACTTATTAGCAAATTATAACAAGAAATTCTCAAGCTTTTCTAGTAAAATTTTTGAGGTTATGGTCGTTATCGTCAATAGCACGCATCTAAATTTTTCCTGGGATTTCTTCTAAATGAAATTCTCTTATTCAACGCAAAAACCTCTAAATTTTCAAATAATTGTGAGAAATTGTATAGATGATGTACAAATTTCATCCACAATTTGTTTCCCTTCATCGCACTTACGAGTTTTGTTCAATGTCAATATCAGTTCACAGTCGAGACAAATTCCGCGCCCATTGAGCCAATGGAGCCCCAAAGGTTGCCTTAGAGTGGAGAATAAATAGGTGCCCATTTGTCTTGTGGTAAATCAGAAAAGAGGTAATAAGATAATGACCCTAAATATTTGTCCATATATTAAAGTGGACGAGAACTGCAAAAATATACAAGATCAGACCACCCCTTTAATGAACATCTAATTGCAGTGTTTACACGGCACCCGATTGCCTTTTTTATCCGCAACATCTCATGCTCCACCTCCTATTTGTATGGTGGTAAGAAAAAAACTCCCATTATTAAATA